TTGACTGTGAGAGACTTAGCTCTTCTCATTAATACAATGATCTAAGACAATTCCAAAAGACTTATGATGGAAAATGTTATCCACATCCAGAAAAATAAGTGATGGAGTCTCAATACAGATCAAAGTAAACTGTTTTTACTTTCTTTGTTTTTTTTTCCCTTTTGTTCTGTTACATTTAACATGACTGCACATATATAATCTATATCCATGATTGCTGACTTGGGAAGGGAGAGAGAGAAAAAAACTGGGGACTCAAAATCTTATAAAAAAAAATCAATGTTGAAAACTATCTTTATATGTAATTGGGGAAAAAAATGCTATTTACATAAAAAAGAAAGTAATCCCAAAATGAAAACTCCTAGGAATATTACAGCCAAATTCCAAAGCTCCCAGGTCAATATGAAATGTTGCAAACAGCCAGAAAGAAACAATTCAAATATCATGGAGCCATAGTCAAGATAACACAAGATTTAGCTGCTTTTACATTAAAGGGAAATACACATGTGCATGGGAATGGGATGAACTCACAGCAGAATCCAACAATATGTTGTTTATATGAAACACACTTGAAACAGAGATACACAGAGCCAAAATTAGAGGCTAGAGCAGAATCTAGTTTGTTTCAGCTGAAATTAAAAGAAAAAAAAAGCAGGGGTAGCAATCATGATCTTAGGCAAAACAAAAGCAAAATTACATCTAATTTAAAAAGATACAGAAGGAAACTATATATTGCTAAAAGATACCACAGACAATGAAATAATATCAATACTCAACATATATGCACCAAATACTATATAGCATCCCAATTCTTAAAGGAAAAGTTAATGAGTTACAGGAGGAAATAGTAAAACCATACCATTGGGGGACCTTAACTTTCTCCTCTGAGAACTAGATAAATCTAACAAAAAAAAAGTTAAGAAAATTAACAGATTTTTAGAAAAGTTAGCTATGATAGACCTCTGGAGAAAACTGAAAGGGAATAGTAAGAAGTTTACCTTTTAATTTCCATCTGTACATGGCACCTTCACAAAAATTGACCATGTTTAAGAGCATAAAAACCTCACCACCACATGCAGAAAATCAGAACTATTAAATGCATCTTTTTCAGATCATAATGCAATAACAATTACATTCAATAAAGGGCCATGGATATAGATTAAAAATTAATTGGAAACAATATAATTTAATCCTAATGAATGAATGAGCCATAGAAATAATTAATAATTTTATTAACAAGAATGACAACAATGAAACAACATATCAAAATTTATGGGATGCACCTAAAGCAGTACTTAAGAGAAAATGTATAACTCTATACAAATGCTTACATCAATAAAACAGACACAAAGCAAGATCAAGGATTTGGGCAGACAACTAAAAAAAACTAGAAAAAGAAAACATCAAAAATCCCCTATTAAACACCAAATTGGAAATCCTGAAAACGAAAAGAGAGATTAATTAAACAAAAAGTAAGAAAACTATTGACCTAATGAATATAACTAGGAGATTTTTTTTGGGGGGGAAACTGAATAAAATCGATAAACCACTTCTTAATTTGATTTAAAAAAGAGGAAAACCAAATTACCAGTAACAAAAATTAAAAGGGTGAATTTACCATCAATGAAGATGAAATTAAAGAAATTATTAGGAACTATTTTACCTAATTATATGCCAAAAAATCTAACAATCTATGTGAAATGGATGAAAATAAACAAAAATATAAATTGCCCAGATTAAAAAAGGAAATCAAATACTTAAATAATCCTTAGAAAAATAAATTGAACAAGCCATCTATAAGCTTCCTAAGGAAAAAATTCCAGAAGCAGATGGATTCACAAGTGAAATACACCAAACATTTAAAGAACAATTAATTCTAATTCTATATATACTATTTGGAAAAACAGGCAAAGTCCTACCAAATTCCTTTTATGACACAAATATGGCACTGATACCTAAACCAGGAAGAGTCAAAACAGGGAAAGAAAATTATAGATCAATTTCCCTAATGAATATTGATGCAAAAATTTTAAATAAAATACTAGCAAAGAGATTACAGCAATATATCACAAAGATCATACTCTATGACCAGGTGGGATTTATACCAGGAATGCAGGGCTGGTTTACTATTAGGAAAACTATAAGCATAATTGACCACATAAATAAAACTAACAGAAATCATATGATTATCTCAACAGATGCAGAACAAGCCGTTGACAAAATACAACCCCATTCCTCTTAAAACACTAGAGAGCATAGGAATAAATGGAGCTTAAAATGATAAGTAATATTTATCTCAAGCAATCAGTAAGCATTATCTGTAATGGGGATAAAATAGAAGCCTCAGTATAATCAGGGTTGAAGCAAGAATGCCCATTGTCACCTTTATTATTCAATATTGTACTAGAAATGTTAAGAACAGCAATAAAAGAAGAAAAAGAAATTGAAGGAATCACAAGTCAAGGCACTAACCTCCTGATGTCACTGGTCCTCTTTGAAAATGAAGGATGAACAACGACCACCCTCGGAGAATGCAAACTGCAAGACCTAGCAATTTTTGCTTTTATATAGGGTCACCAAATTGTGGCCCAGTGGATAGAGAGGACCTCAATGCTAGGAAGACCTGGGTTCAAGTCCTACCTCTGACACATACTGGCTGTGTGACCCTGAGCAACTCAGTGCTCAAAGTCAGTAGTTCACAAACTTTTTGGTCTCAGGACACCTTTGCACACTAAAAATTACTGAGACTACAAAGAACTTTTGTTTATGTGGTTTATAGCTACTAAATTTACATTATAAGAAATTAAAACTGATAAATTTTTAAAATTTTAGTTAATTCACTTAAAAATAACAATAAATCCATGACAGTAACATAAATAACTCATATTTTAAAAATAATTACATATAAAAAAGTGAGGAAAGTGACACTTTACAATATTTTTTGCAAATTTCTCTAATTTCTAGCTTAATAATAGAAGGCAAATTCTCATACCTGCTTCTGTATTCAATCTGTTTCAATACGTTATTCTGGTTGTAACATATAAAGAAAATCTGGCTTCCCACATATATTTAGTTGGAAAAGCAAGGAGTGTTGCCTGTAACATCAGACTTACTATGAAAATAGTTTTGACCTCATGGGCCCCCTGAAAGGGTCTCGGTGGCTCCTGTGGATCCTCCTACCACCGAATCCTCTAGGAATCTAAAAGGAAGAGGAGGAAGAGGAAGGGGAGGGGGAGGAGTAGGAAGGAGAAGGAGAGGAGGAAGGGGAGAGGGAGAGGGGTAATACTGAGCTCTACTCGAAGGGCCATAATTTAAATCCCCCTACTATCACTTACTACCTCTACGACCTCGAGCCTCAATTTCCTCAACTGTAAAATGAGGGGGCTGGATTATATGGAAGATTTCCAAGCTCTCAATCCCGAATTCTCAGAAGGCTTTCTTCCCTCTTCACCTCCGTGTCTTGAAACCTCCCTTCACCCCCACTGCAGCCTCCTAGAGGCTTGTATGGTTTCCCCAGCTCCGTCCAAATGGACCGACCATGGAGGAGAGCAAAGCAAGCTAAACATCAGGAGGGACACTGTTATACCGAGAAATGAGCAAGTTGACGACCCAAGCTAATTTTAAATTGTGGACTTTATTAGCGCGCGGCTGCCAGGGATACTCACATCCAAATCAAGCAGCCCCCATCAGAGGTCGAGCTAGGGTTTATATAGAAAAGAGCATGGGAAAGAAATGCGAGGAACACTGATGAGGTAATCCAAAGATGCAGGTGTCTTTGGGGCTATGGATGGGAAAGTACAGGGAGTGTACAGGACAGGGAGGAGGATGGATCTTTGGTCTCGCAAGAGGAAGAGTTCTTGGGCTGGTCAAGGACACCCCTCTCCCTCTGTCTTGATGAGAGAATGCTCTGCAACAAGGGAAAGCTTTCTCACAACACAGGAACTTACTGAGGAATTGGGAGGCTTCCAGAGACATGACCTGAGGGCTGGGGCCTGAGCAGCCCAGCTCTGTGTAGTTGTACCAGGGAGAGATAAGGGTCATGCTGAGGCCCATGCATGAATAACTGCTAGGCACACTGTCCTTGAGCTGGGGAGTGGTTGTTAGAGACAGTGTTTCTGAGACTAGGGAGAAATTGGGGCACAAGTACAAGCACAAGCACCCCATTATTACAGATCAGAGATCACACAAACCAGACCAGGTGTCCTGGTCTCTGGTACAAACATAATTATCTAAAGCAATTATATTGCAAGCTTTCTTATCCATTTGCGTTGGAGGTATGGGCTATGCTGAGCTATGCAAGAGTACATTTCACTATCGTTTAGATTTAGGAGGAAAGAGGTCTGGGGCAAGATTAAGCACCAACTTTTGCTTTCCATGGCTTAAAGGGCCCTACTACCTAAATGGCAAAATAATGTTCTGTATTACAACACGACGTCCTTTCACACTCTGGGGTGGGAAATTAAACCTGGCATAGTACTGGGGGTGGAGGCGTGCGTCGCCGCAATGCAGCGCAGAGATGCGGACGTTGGAGGCCACTGGCCGCCCTTCTCCGCCCAGTAAAACAATTCCCGAGCTACCACTACGGGCCGGGGACAATGCTGGGCGCTGAGCACAGAAATACATTAGCAACGCCGCTTCCTGCCCGTGAAGCGCTTACAGTCTAGCTGGGGAACGCAGACTGCAGTCCTGAAAGTAACAGTTATCTAACGGCGCTTTCTCTCCAGGTCACTAAAAGAGCTGCAATTAAGCACGGAGAGCTTCCTCCCAGATGCCAGTTCCTCCAATCAGGGCGCGGCACGCAGCTTCCACCGCACACCCCCAGGAAGGAGTAAGGCGCCGGGAGACCCGCCCGGGAAATTGATTAGGTGAATCCGAATGCATCAATCAAGCTAGTTTGAAGGTTCCTTTCAGCGTTTGCACGCTGGTGCAATTGTGTGCACGTAGGGGCAATTGTGCACAGGATCCGGGAGGAGGTCACTTGCTTTGTTCCAAACCCTGCTTACCTGGAAAAAGCCGTGAGTCCACGGGCGGGCTTCTGGGAGCTTGGCTTTTGCTACCCCACCTCCCACCCTCCCCGATGGTAGACCCTGGGTCTGATTTGTCTTTTCCTGTATCTTGGCCCCTCCCCACGCCGCACGCAGCCGTTAACGTTTACGATCCTCCCCTACTCTCTCAGCTGCCGCAGCTGCTCTATAATAAAACAGTCTGCGAACACTTATTGAGCGCCTTCTGAATGCCAGGCTCTATGGTCAGATGCTAATAGTCACGTGAATCCGCGGATTGGGTGGACTAGCGGCGCTCCTGAGCTTCGTCCAGCGTCAGAGAAAGAAAAAACTTTAGCCTCTCATTGGATTCAGAGCTGGAAGGGGAAAAGTAAAGGGAGAGGGGGACGTGCCCTTATTGAGCACCTACTATGTCCCGAGTACATAGCAAACCTCTTGACGATAGGGAAGGGGTGAGGTGCATTTTGGGGTTGATAAAATGGAGGCCAGGGGAGGTTTAAGCGACTTGCCCCAGGTCCCAAGACTAGTTAACTGTCAGAGGCAGAATATGAACTAAGGGCTTCCCAGCTCCTGGAGATCTATCCACTGCTAGCACAGATGTCTTTGAGCAATCACTCATCTTCACTGCTACCGTCCTGTAAGACGATGACACATAGCACGCCCCTTTCTTGCAGCCCCATCCATCGCTGACCCCTACCCCAATAAAAATAAAATTTTAAAAAAGAAATGAAAAACTTGTTCAGTTGTGTCCTATTTTATTTTGTACATTGCATTTTCTTGGCAATGATATTGGAGTTCCCCATTTCCTCCTCTAGTGTGTCTGAATTTTACACACTGAGGAACTGAGGCATTTAACATTGAGTTAAGTGACTTGTCCAGGGTCAGACAGCTAGTAAGTGTCTTTGAATTTGAGCTCAGATCTTTCTGAATCCAAGCTCGGGCCAGTATCTACTTCACCACCTACCTGGCTCCATGGGATCTATTAGAGGTCATCTACTAGGAGGTTTTTCAACCTGGGGTCCATGAAGTTTTTTTAATACTTTGATAACAGTATTTCCGAAGTTGGTCTTCTTTGTAATCATACATTTTTATTGTAAAAACATAATTCTGAGAAGGGGTCCCATAAGCTTCACTATACAGATCCGCGACACTAACAAAAAGGTTAAGGATTCTAAGCTAAAATCTGTCAAGTTGCAGATGAAGGAGCTGGGAGAGGGAAAATGGGCAAAGTCACCCAGATAGTCAATAGCAGAGAAGGGATCCAACCTGGGGGGCCCTCTTACTCTAATCTCAGATTTGCGGTTGGTTTTATCTTCTGTTTCCCCATGCCTCCCAGCAGGCATGGCCCGCTCTCTAAGCAAACAAAACTGCTTTTCCCCAGTTTGCTGGCCCGGCTCCAGCTCTCTTTTCTGTTGCATGTAGTATATATAGAGGAACAAAACTGCCAAAGCATTTTGTTGTCAGACTTCCCCCCCCCTTCAAATAGCTCTATGGAAAGTAACACATGATTCTAGAGTATAAATTTGGAAGTACACTGAGAGCATTCATTAGTCTAGTTAAGTCAGCGATAATTGCCTTGACAAGTGTATCCTTTTAAAAATTTTCTCAAAAACTTGCTAATGAAATTTCACAAGAGGGAAATTTTCACAGTAATCAAAAGGTAAAATGAGTTCTTTTTTTCTCCTACAAGATTCTCCAACCATGTCTCAGCTTGTAAAGGGCCTGGGGCAAGGCAGTGAGAAAGCAATTTTCAGCATTTGATAGCATTTAGGAAATGTTTTCAGGATTTAAAGTACTAGAAGATTAAATGTTCTTTAGTTCAGTAATCAGTCCTGTGCTTCTTGACACTTAATGCTGCATAAAGTAGCCCTAATTCCAGAGATGAGTAATAACAGTACTGAAGGTTCCAAAGGAGATTGTTTTATTTGTCCAGGTTGGAAGAGTTAGTCCTTAGATATACAGATTGTATGTAGAAAGTCATTCTTTCACATCAACATCATTGGAAGATATCAAAAGACCACAAGGACAAAGATCAGAAAGCAGCAAATAATCTAAAATGGATTTATTGGGCTTTGGAATGAAATAATTGATGCTTTTCTCTAGGAATTTACATGTAGTAGGCATTTAACTTTGTAATTCATGCTTTCCTCTGGGTGTTTAGAACAGTGTATGACACATAGTAGGCATTTAACTTTATCATTTTAACAAATGCTTTTTTTACTCATTCACTCGTTTATTCTCTTCTCCATCCCATTTGCCTCAATTCCCCAGTAACTCATGATTTATATAAAAAATAATGCACATAATAAACAATTGACTTTATAATTAAATGTCTTTATACATAACTTTTTTATGAACAGGCAGTTCTCGAAGAAAGACATCCAAGCTATTGACAACTACATGAAAAAGTGCTTCAAATCACTAATAAAGAAAAGCAAATTTCAAGCAACTCTGAAGTTCTAACTCATGCCTATCAGATTGGCAGAGTTGACAAAAAAAGGAAAATGGCAAATATTGGAGGAGCTGCAGGGGAAACAGGCACATTAATGCATTGCTGATGCAGAAATGAATGGAACAACTATTCTAGGAAATAATTTGGAATTATTCCCCAAAAGTCACTAAAATGTCTGTACTCCTGACTCTCTAGATTTTATTTCCCCTTCCATAGAAACTGCTTTACCCTGGAAAATCTATACTCACTTTGAATTTCAAAGGTTGAAAGTAACATCCAACCTTTTGATTGTCTGGTTCCCCTCATAACCTCTATTTTAAGAAGAATGCCTAAGTTAGCCATGTCTTCATTTCTATACAAGATGCATTCCTAAATATCTAGACTTTCTTTACCATTCTCCAACCTTGTACCTTCATCTCTCCCCCTCCCTACCTTACTTTTCAGCTTCCTTTTTATGTTGTATTCTACCATTAGAATATAAGCTTCTTGAGGGCAGGGATTGTATTTCTTCTTGTGTTTTGTATTTCCTGCACTTAACCACAGTGCCTGACTTAGTAAGTACTTAATAAATGCATTTTTACTTTACTTGTTGACCTGACTTAACCTGACCCAGTGATACTTCTACTAGGCCTATAGCCCAAAGGTATCAAAGGAAGAGGAAAAGGATCTATATGTATAAAAATATCTATGGCAGCTCTTGTTTTATGTTGGCAAAGAACTGAAAACTAAGGTATTACCTGTCAGTTGGGGAATGGTTGAACAAATTATAGTATATGAATATAATAGAATACTTTTGTTGTTCCACTGTGTCCAACTCTTCATGACCCCATGAACCAAAATGTCCGTAGGGTTTTCTTGGCTAAGATACTGGAGTGGTTTGCCATTTCCTTCTCCAATGGAGTAAAGCAAACACAGGTTGTGACTTGACCTGGGTCACACAGCTACTAAGTGTCTAAGGCCAGATTTGAACTCAGGTCTTCCTGACTCCAGGCCCAGCACTCTATCCACTGAACCAATCTAGCTGCTGTAATGGAATACTATTTAAATACAATTTTTTTTAATGGTAAAAGGGATAAGAAACCTGGGAGGGCTTTATGAAATGATACAGAGTGAAGAGAAAAGAACCAGGAAAATAGTTTAACGTTGTAAAGACAAGCAACTTCGACGGAATTACTCAAGAATTCTGACCTACTTAAGTATAGATTGGGACATATTTTTTGAACATTGGGATGTATCTATCTATACCTCTCAATGCTTAATAATGTGACCTGAGGAGAAGCAGTTGGAAGGATTGCAGAAATTAGCACCACCTGAGGGGTAAAATTTCCTGAAACTACTCTTGCTCTTCCAAATCCTACTTAGTCTTCTGGTTGCTTTTGTATTAATTTCAGTCATTCAAGAATCCATGATGTAGATGCAGAGGGCAACACCATCCATGGCACAGGAGACAGTTTCTGCTACTGCTGAAAATGTTATAACATAGTAGCCAACCTTATGGTGACAAGCCCCTTCAGGGCAAATCCTTAGACAACAAAGACACAGACTATTTCTAGGCTCATGCTCCAAGTTTCCCCTGCTTGGTAGGACCTAACAGAGCTTAGGTTCTACTGGCATAGCCTTTGAGATCCCAAGCTCACTTTAAAGCCACAGTGAGATATGGACAATGGGGATTTTAGCAGAGGCTTCCTTGATAAAAAGATCAAAATCACAGAAATCTGAAATTGGAGGGGGTCACGGAGGACATCTATTCCAACCTTCTTCACGGTGGAAGAATTCCCTCTACAAAACTCCCCTGAATATCTCCTGAGACAGCAAGCTCACTATCATTCTATTTTTAAAAAGCCAGTATTTTAGTGCCTTCTTGATTATTACTAAAGCTTGAAGCCAATTCACAAAGCAGAGCAGGATGGGAAGTGAAAAGATCAACTAAGAGATGTGAACCAGATTAAAATTGAGAAATGTTTTAACAAAATAAATAAAAAATCAACATAGTTATTAAAATTTTAAATTGGTGAATCCATTTAAGTTGGAAAAATAATAATAATAATTTATCCTGGAAATTCTACTTATCACATCCTAAAATCAGTATGGGGGGTGGAGGGAGGAAGTCCATTCAAAAGGACTTAGTGACTGCTTACCACTTTATAGCCCCTCAGATTTCGAGGTCCTCCTTAATGGAGATATTGATCAATGAGTATTAATTAAGTACCTACTGTGTTCCAAAGTGTTGGGGATACAAAGACAAAAAAGAAAGAGCCCTAAAGGACCTAACATTTAATACAAAATATATATGAAGTATATACAAGCTAATTTTGGAATGGGAAAGCACTAGTGTTTTGATATGGGGTGGGAGTTGAGGAGTGGTTTAGAAAGAACCAAAGAGAATTGGAGTCTAGTCCTTACTCTCTATGAGGCTTCCCTTCCCTCCTCTCTCACGGGAACTAGTGGAGAGAGTACTGGTCTTGGAGTCAGGAAGAGCTGAGTTCAAATCCTACCTCAGACACTTACGAGTTGTGTGTCCCTGGGCAAGTCACTTAGCCTCTCAGCTTCAGTTTCCTCAACTATAAAATGAGGATAATAGTAGCACCTACTTCCTGGTTATGATGAAGATCAAGTGAGATAATTCTTATAAAGCATTTAGCATAGGGCCTGACATAGTAGATGCTCAATACATGTTTCCTTCCTTCCTTCCTTCCCTCTCTGTGCCCCAGCTCTTTTCTCTATAAAATGGCTATAGCAGATCTCTAATGGTCCTTCCATCTCTGAACTAGTATGATAGTGTAAAAGGTAGGGTTAAAACCACCCATAACTAATTATAACAGGGCCTTACTATCATATGTAGAAGATAAAATATAGTCTCAGAATTCAGTTTACAGACCTTTAACTTTAGAAACAATGAGCTAAATTCTCCTAATAACTACTTACTGGTAATAGATTAAGAGCTTCTAGATGGTAGATTAATTCTCTTAACACATTGAGATGCTATTAAGTAGACATGAATTTAGTAAGTTACTTCTTTCATATACTAAATGCCACCCCAATGGTGGAGAACCAACAAAGCTTCTAAAGCTGTCTTAGGTGGTTTAATTTGGTAGGCCTGTAGGAAAGACCTGTAGATATCAAGTCCATATTTATTTGTTATAGGAGACCTTTTCTCTTCTTTTTCTTAGGGAGGAAGTGGGGAAGGTAGTTATAAAAATCTAGTGATACCAGAAAAAAATGAGGAAAATACGTGGAAATGTTTTTTAAAATACGCAGAAGAAAGAAGAAAAGGGACACAGGCAAGCAGCACAGCATTGGAACCAATGTGTTTAATATGTACTTAAAAAACAAATTCCAAGAGGCATGTAGCAAATGTTCTCAAACTTTTGTTTTCAGGACCCTGTACACTCTTAAAAATTGAGGACCCCAAAGAGCTTATATCTATTGATATTTACTATATCATAAATGAAAATGGATATATTTTTAAAATATTAATTTATTTACAATAATAAATCTATTGTATGCTAATATAAATACCATTTTTTATGAAAAGTAACTATTCTGCCCCCACAAAAAAGTGAGAAGAGTGACATTTCTTTATATATTTCTTGCAAACCTCTCTAGTGTCTGGCTTAATAAAAAACAGATAGATTCTCATATCTGCCTTTTTATTTAATCTGTGGTGATACATTGTTTTGGTTGAAGTACATGAAAATCTGGCTTACCACAAGGAGATATACATACACACACACACACACACATATATATATGCATATATACATATACACACATATATGCATTTGTGTATTGTATATTTATACATTGTGTGTGTGTGTGTGTGTGTGTGTATATATCCTTTGGGGTCCACAGACTATAAGAACCACTATAATATAATTTCATAATATTATACAATCTAATTTTTCTGTTCTTTATATAAGGAAAGCTTATTAACTTCATAATTTAAAAAAATTCACTTTGTTTTTTCAGATGAAGAAACTGAGTCCCAGAGAAGTTAAATGACTTGCCCAAGGTCACACAGCTAGCACACAGTAGAGCTGATATTAAAACACAAGTCTTCTGACTCCAAGTTCAGTGTTCTTTTCACTCTGGTATTTTCTCTTTTCCATTGACACATGGAACATCTCTCAGTTGCACAGTGTATAAGCATCTCATACATCAAAATTTCTCAGTAACAAATAGCGTTGCCTGATAAATACAAAAAATGTCTTCCAAAAACACACCATGTATCTCAGTCACACATGGGTGCTTTCTAGTGACATTTAGGCATGAGGAGCATCCGGCTTATTTAACAGCAGACACATTTAATGGTAATACCTAAGACACACCTCCATCTATACAACTATATTTCCCAAGTAAAAGTATCCCATTAAAAAAGGCTAAGAGATTAATGACCAAGGCATCTGAAGAAGTTTCAGTGAGTCTTAACTGAAATTCGGAAGCTCTTGAACCTGTCTCCAGCAGACCACAATCTTAATTACAAAACAAAACAAAATTTATTAAGTATGTACTCTGTGGCACTAGAGGGCAAAACTTGGGCTAATGTATAGGAGTTACAGGAATTCAAAAAAGAAAATTAAAGTGATGGAAGGACTTTGAGAAAACAGGGACTTTAATTCACTGTTGGTGGAGCCATTCTGGAAAGCAAATTGTAACTATGCCCCCAAAGTCACCAAACTGTGCATACCCTTTTGCCTAGTATTACTATTATTATACTGAACAAATTAGTATGAACACGATGGAATATTATGATGCTATAAGAAATGACAAAAGGGATGGTTTAGAGAAATCTGGGGAGACTTGTATGAACTGATACAAAGTGAAGTGAAAAAAAAACCCAGGAGAATAATTTACACAACAACAACATTGTTAAGAAACAACTTTGAACCACTTAAGAACTCTAATCAATACAATGACCAAGTATGTTGAATTCTGCTACCCACCCTGTGACACAGAAATTTTGGATTCAAGGTGCAGAATGAGACATATATTTGACATGGACAATGAGGCAATTTGTTTTACTCAACTAGGCATATTTATTACAAATGTTCAATTATAATTTTTTCCTTTTTATTCTTTAACCAATTTGGGGGATAAGAAGTTTGAGAGGAAGAAAATATAAATGTTTGTTAATTGAAAAAATTAAATTTGATTAAGAAGTATTCCTTCCAATTCTAAAATTCTATTATTCAATTACCTTTTAATATTTGGCATGACATGGATCACTAGTGACTTGAAAGAATGAGTCCATCTCCTGAAATGACAAATTCATCTTGAGAAAAACCCTGAATCTGTTATATTCTCCAGGAAATATTATTCAGGTAAAAAAAATTCTTTCATTGTATAGATATAATAAACAATTCACTTCATATAACACAAGGCTTTAACATAATGATGATTTTATTCTTTTATTACAAAACTGTAAAAATGTGTTTTAAACAAAGTCCTAGGAATAACACTACATAATAAAAGAAAAAATTGTCTTTTCATAATTTGAAACATTGCACTGCAAAGTTTTATTTTTGTTCACTTAAGTAGTGTAATAAAAATAATCTTTTTTTTCCCTTAAGGAACTATTCTGAGCACCAACATTCCAAGAAAAGACATTTCTTAACTTCAGAGTTCATCTTTGGCCTGAAATTACAAAGAACAAAGTTATTAATGTCTACACAATCCTTTCATTTCTATTACTATATTTCTTTATTATTTCTTAGTACGCAAAATAGGAAGGAGGCCAGGGCTCTCACTATGGGGCCTCTGGACCCAAGGTAAATAATGTTGTGGACTCTCCTACTCTAACTTTAACCCTAAATGCTTAGGAAAAATTGGGTGAAAATGAATGCCAAGAGCAGTCACTAAGGAGAAAAGAGAATATGGCAGAGAGAAAAAAGAAGAGAGACTAGGAGTAGGGAGATCTGGGGGTTAGTGCTAGCTTTGATTATAATCTTGTCAAATACTTGGAAGTGTGACCTTAAGCAACTGAAACTCTATGGGATTCCCTTTTCCCACCTGCAAAAAGAAGGTCTCAGACTTGATAATCTCTAAGGTTTTCTGTATTTACTTCAAATCATAAAAAGGCAGGATTTGGAAGAGAGGCAGTCTTACTGCCCAGTCCTTACTTTGCTTAAGTAATGCACATAGGGTATAATTATAGCCTGATTATGTAGAATAGCTAATATCTTTCTTCTTTTTTGTCTTTCCATTAACTGGCAGTGAGCTATCTTTTTTCCTACCAATTACCTCCCAGGTCTTTGCCTAGTCAGCCATTAGGGAAGGTTGGGTTGGGTGGTAGAACAAATTATGCAATAATTATAACAGTTGTAAGTAATGGATTTCAATAATCTTACATTATAAAATCATCCCTAAAAAAAACCTAGTCCTTCATTATGCTAGTATAGAGGGATGATTGACTAGACATGAATGTGGGTACTGTAACTTTTTTATATTATTATTACACTAGGGACCTAAAGAAGACTAATATTGTCTACATTAAAAATAGAAAACTCATTATTGAGAGGCTCTAGCTCTAAGATTTAAAAAAAAAATAAAGTTTGGAGAATCCAGGAATATAATCCCCCAAATCAATTCTGTTCTATTATAAACACTTACATGGGAAATCAGTTAATCTATTTTAAAAATGAAATATAGTCTTCATGCATTAAAAATATGATAAAATAGATGTTAATGGACATCTACTCACTTTCAAAGCATGTTTACATAGAAGTCTTTATATATTCTACTAACTGGCATTTCTGCACCAGGGACTTATTAAGATAAATAACATCAAAATACTTTCCATGAATACATATATATATATATATATATATATATATATATATATATATATGTATGTATATATATATATATGTGTGTATATATATATATATATATATATATATGAAACTTTTAAATAAGTAAAGTTGAGGTATACTGAACTGCTCATTTAAAAAAATGTAAAAGACTCTAACAACTATATACACCTTGATTAAAAAAAAAGCTATCATAAGTTTTACATAAGATCCTGGAAAACTCAACCTTATCAACTTCTCAATTCCCTTGATCTCAGAGACCTTTCATAAAAAGTTTATTTGGCCTTTTCATAAGATCCACATCTATATATCGTGTGTGTGTGTGTGTGTGTGTGTGTGTGTGTGTATGCAACAAGGACCTATCCTCTGCCATTGAATCCTTTATCTTGACACTGCCATTCTGATACTCAATACCCAAGAGTCACCCTCGTCACTGGCCATCTCCTGAATCACTGAAAAAGGATGCTGAATGGATTCACTACATGTTCATTTTATCTAACTTCAGCTGGGCATCCAGTTGGCATTTGATGTTGCTGTTGAGTCGTTTCAGTTGTGTCCGACTCTTTGCGACCCTGTTTAGTTTTCTTGACAAAGATATTGGAGTGGTTTGCCATTTCCTTCTCCAGCTCATTTTACAGATGAGGAAACTGATGCAAACAGGGTTAAGTGATTTGCCCAGGTTTGCATAGCTAGGAAGTGTCTGAGGCCAGATTTGAACTCAGGAAGGTGTCTTCCTGACTCCAGGGCCAGCATTCTATCCATTGCTTTACCTAACTGCCCAGGCATACAGTAGGGCACAGCAATCCTTTCATTTATCTTTGATTAATTCCCTAACAAACTCTCCACAGTAGCTTTTTCAAACCTAGGTTCTAATTCTATTATTACCCCTAACACCCTGTCCAACACTTTTCCCTCCAGACAGATGCCCTACCTTCTAAAAAGATTGAGCCCATCTATTATGAACTTCCTCATTTCCTTTCCTCTCCACCTCAAATCCTCTAGTCTCTGAGAATAAAGTACTTCTTTTCTCTGTCAGCACCAACCCTTCCACTTGTGCCTTCCAATATCTTGCTATTTTAATTATCATTCTATTTTGCTTTATCATCTCTAGTCTCTCCCTTTCTTCTGGCTTTCTTTCCACTTTTTGAAAATAGAAATCTCAGCTCAGGAATCCTTTAAAACAAACAAACATTTCCCTTGACCATACCATGCCCTCAAGTTATCATCTTATTTCTCTTCAGCAGGTCCTCTGCAATTAACTAGTTCAAAACAAACCTGAACAGACTTCCCCCCACAACATCCCTGACAAATAAGTAGTTAGGTGATCAGCTAAGGAGGCAGCTACAGAGTATAGTGGACAGAATGTCTGATTTGGAATCTTGAAGACCTAAGTCAAAATCCCACAACCACATATATATATTAACTGTGTGACTCTGGGTAAGTTATTTAACTTCAACTTCCTCAGCTGTAAAATGGGGAAAATACAGTCACTTACCTCACAAGGTTTTCCAGAGAATCTAACAAGAAAACATATGTAAAGCATTTTGCAAACCTTAAAGCACTATACAAATGTTGGCTATTATTATAGTTATAGCTATTGTGATCATTAAACTTCTGCTTTAAGATTTCCAGTGATGAGAAACCCATCATTTCCCCAAATAGCCTATTATACTTTTAACTGATCTATTGTAAAGATTCCCTCTGTGTCATACTGATCTGAGTGATAGCGTTTTGGGAACAAGAAACCAAAGTTAACCTTCTTCTATGTGACCTTTATGCCAGACTGACATTATAGGGTTACTAAGACAGGTATGTCAGGGGAATGCTATAGCCAATAATACAGTTGAATTTCTACATGACATTTGACAAAATCTCTCATTCTTTGTGGACAAAATGAAGATGTGCTAGACAATCATTTACTTAAGGCAAATTCAGAACTAGTTCTTAACAGTATCTAAAATGTAATGATTAATACATTGATGCCAAACTAGAGATATAAGTGATATATTCCAAGGATTAGTCCATGAAATCCCATACTAGGGTGGTAACTAGAATAAAGAGGAGGGGACAGATGTGAGAAGGTACTATGGAGGTAATTAAAGGGACTTGGCAAATCAGATTTTGGGATGAGTAAAAGGGAAGAGTCAAGGATATCACCAAGGTTTCAAACATGGGAGACTAAATGTATGGTAGTTAACAGTAAAAAGAGCAAAGTCAGAAGAAGACCAGTTTGGTGAAATAGAACAATAGCCAGACCCACCTTTTTCCTGTGGCAGTTACAGGGAAAGAGGTCATCTTCAGACTGAGATTCCACCTTCTCCATGCCATCTCGAATTTTGGGTTCAGTCACTTGTAAACTAGCATATTCCTAGTTAAAGGAAAATATTATTTTTCTTGATTTTTTTTCCCTTGTCTATCTTTCATAACATGACCATTATGAATATGTTTTACATGACTAAACATGTGTCACCTATATGGAATTGCTTATCTTCTCAATGGGAGGTGAGTGGGGAGGGAGGAAGGGAGAGAATATGGAACTCAAAGTTTTAAAAACAAATGTTAAAAATTGTTAAATACTAAATAGCTTTAAAAAAACACTACATTTCCATTGTAAGATACAGGATTTCCAATACCTTCTAAAGAAATGAAAATGCTAGAGCTTTCCTTTTATATAATAAATGTTTGCTGAATTGAATCTCTGCTAACAAGATCCATGCTACAGACTTCTGACATGGTGAGATCCCTCACCCTCCTCTGCCAAGTGTGAGATGACAGGGAGAGCTTCCAACTGTTCTGAGCATACACACAGCACTGGCTTCTGATTCTTTCTTTCTCTGTATAGCTAACACCTGGTTTGCCCTATTCATCTATCACTTAACACATATCATAATTTGTCTTTATCTCTGTATGTGTCATATCTCCAAACTAGGCAATAGGTTCTATGAGGGCAAAGATGGTACCTTATCTAAACTTTGCATCTCTCTTAGCTGCTAGCAGTGCTCTACACACAGTAGGGAATTGATCTGACTTGTGTTATAAATAGGTGTATGTGTACTTTACCTCCCCTGCTTTAGTATAAGTTCCTTGAGGGCAGACATATTAGCCTTTGTGAATCCTGCACAGTATGTAACATAATGTCCTATACAGAGTAAACAATGAATAAATAGCTCACACATCTATGAATGAATGGGACAGAAGAAATCCAAGCAGCAATTTTTCACAAGCCATTTGAACAATGCAAATTGTTCACTTGCTCCTTGACCCACAGGTGTGATGTACTATCTTCTAAATCAAAGAAAAAATGGGTATTGGGAAGCACATCCTTACAGACCCTTGCTATACCAAGCTTTTATGCTACAGCAAGGCACACTAGAGTGAAGCTACATTGAATTTTTCAATGCTGAAACAAATTCTGAACACGGAGAACTATTAAATACAAATTATTTATTACTTCTCTGTTCTGCAGAAGGCATTTCATGCTGTCAGCTTTTATTGTCAATTGTGTTTGGAATACTAGCCCTAAGAGTTTGTGTCTTTGGCAACAATTTCCTAGGTTCCTTCCTGGTTATTTTTTTTTAAAGAAGCATAGCAACAGGTCAAAACATAATTTGCAGCATTTAAACAAAGAGATCTTACTGCAAGAAATATTTCATAAGGAATAAATATGAATCTATGTTTAGTGCTGTATGATTACAGACCAGTTCATTGACAAATGGACCACCACCTATCCCTAAGGATAATGACATATTATCAACTGAAAGTGACCTTTTCCATTATTTGTTCTTTAGTTTTTGATTATTTACATTGTCTGACTTTCTATCATTCACAATTGTGAAAAGATATAGTTGCACAATTGTGTGTGTGTGTGTGCTTACAAATTATCTAGCAGTATATCACCTATACCATAGAGGCATTTACAACCACAAGTTATGTTCATATCACCTTTGCAAATACTGACCTGGAAAAGCTTGAAATAATAGCAAAATATGTTATCACCCATGAGATTGTCTCTTGCAAATTCTTGCCCTGCTTTTGCTATTGCCTTTGCCTATGGAAGAAAATGACATTCTTCATTATTATATAATTTTACAATATGCTTCTTTTTGAAGTGAATAAAATGTTCCAGTTTGTGTATGTGATACAGCAGAAGAGTAATGAGGTGAAGCCAGAAAAACAGAAGGATGGGGGTTCTTATCTGGCAGAGGAGACATTTAATAGGGTGTTCTCCTCACAGGCTAAGCAAATGCATATTAAAGCAAGGTGTTTTGGGAATTCAAATTAGAGAGAAAAGAAAAGTACCCACCCCAAAATTGGAAGAAATAAGTCCCCTTCTCCCTCCCCAAGGATAAATAAAATAAACAAGGAGACAATGGCCTCATGAAATGAGTAAGAACCCAATTTCAATTCTTTTATTTTAGAGGCTGCTTTCCTAAAACTCCTCATTTCAATGAAAACTACAATTACTCCCCTACGGATAGAGGAGTGCTAGCTCCCTAATGGAGTGCCTAATGACCCTCTCATTTTCTTATTGATGCCAGCAGTGATCCATTTGTTATATTAGGTGGCACAGCTGTCATTGCTGGTTTGCAGACCACAAAGACTGGTTTTTCAGCCACAAGCGTATGATGGGGAATTAGACTGAGCATCTTCTATGTAAATTCTGAAGGTGGAAGAGGAGGGAAATAAAGTAGCTTCCATGGGGAAAAGTTTACTCTTTTCTGGAGAAGGTCTATACAATATGATCCTAAAGGCTTGCCAGATCCAGAGCATTTAAGTGACCCATTTGGTACACATCTTTGGACTTCTCCATTGGGCCCCTCTGCCAGTACATTTCCTTCTCTCCACCTTTCCCCATGCCTCCTTTTTAGCTTCCTTTTGTGGGTTGTCTTTCCCCATTAGTTTGTGAGCTCCCTGAAGGCAGAGACTGTTTTTCTTTTTCATCTTTGTATCCCTAGCACTTAGCATGGTGCCTGGCACATAGTAGGCTCTTAATAAATGTTAGCTGACTGACACCTTAACTACATTTCAAATCTCCACCTCCTTAACTACCACATTGCTCTGCATACAGTCAATGCTTAACACATATTTGTTGAATTTTGTCTTACCTCTTCATCATGGTCTTTAGCCCACTGAAGTTTTTCCAAGAGATCACTCAGGTTGCTTTTCACTGGTATGTAATGTTTCCAGGGCTGAAGCTCTTTGTAAAAGTGCTCATAATAAATAGAGTCTTGCTTTAGCACAACACTGTTGCCAACTAGTAGATAAGGCAGCCTGTACGCTGCAACAGTACCATCCACGTTAATCTGATACTTGTGCTGTAGAACAAGATACACCAGACGAGAATTGCAATTAGGTTTCCTTCTCATTCCCCAAGACACAGTTTGGGCAGCTGATTTTCTTCCCTGCTTTCACCATTTAGTTAATGTTACTCTGTTAATGTTCTATTTCTCTATGCATACTGACTGGGAACTAAATGTTCAATTTAGACGCTGCCCTGGAGATCATGAAATCAGTAACAAGGCTAACTTTGAAAGAACCTTTTTTTAATTGAAGATTGTACTCAGAAGGTGACAGCATAAGGAACATTGTGTTTATTTGTGAAAGTGTAATGTCTGCAGTCGTTTATTTACTTCACTCGTGTGCCTAATGAGATCACGTTCTGTACTATGTTAACTCTCTCTCTTAAACACCAGATGGCTACACAAATGTCTTCTGGGAATAACAAGCCTTGGGATGAAAGAGCTTGAAAACTGAACATTTGCAGAACTGTTATAATTGGAAGCTTGTACTATGTAGAAAATGCTTTGGATTAAAAAAAATAAAAAAGTTAATGTGAAAATAACAGAAGCCTTTGAGAACTCAGTCACCAGAAGGAAAGTAGGTACACTAATGGTGGAACTGTGAGTTGGTGTGACCACTTTAGGAAAAAAAAATTGGAACTATATTTAAAAAAAAAAGGTGCTAAAGTGTATTAACCTCTGACTCAGAAATACTAATTATAGGGATATAGTCCAGAGAGCAACAACAGAGAGAAAGGATCCATTTTTATGAGCATATTTTTAACAACACATTTTCTAATAACAAAAAAAATGGAAAATAGAAGCCCATCAACTGGAAAATAGCTTAACAAATTGTGTTATGTGAACATAATGGAATAATGTTGCAGCCATAGCAAATGACAAACATGAATTCAGAAAAATAGGAGATTTGTAAGAACTATTTGTATTGCTGGCACCTACCACAGTACCTTAATCTAAAGTGCTTCACAAATGTTTTGTGCAGCTGTCAATGGTAGGAGATACACAACAAAACATTTAATGATTAACAAAATATAGGTAGAGCTAAAAAAAAAAAACCCCAAAACCCTATTTTCATTATAAAAATGAATCAATGTAAAGTGAAATGGGCAAAATCAAGAGAACATTTTACTTAATGGCAGCAAAAAAAATGTCAAGGAAAACAAGTTTAAAAGACTTCCAGTCTCTGATCAAAGCAACCAACACTAGTGATTTCAAAAGACTGATGATTAAACATAACTTCTATTTCTTTTTATATGCTAGGCAATGGGATTAAGTGATATGCCCATGGGCACACAGCTAGTAAATGTGAAGTGTCTGAGGCCCCATTTGAACTCAGGTCCACCTGACTGTAGGGCCGGTGCTCTATCTACTGCACCATCTGCCCCATACCTTCTATTTCTTGACAGACAATAGACTGAGAAAGGAATTCACAGCCATGGTCAATGTGTTGATTTCTTTTGCTGGAATACACACACATATACACATACATATACACACATACATACACATATGTATATGTGTATGCATGTATGAGATTCTACTGGGGAGTTATGGGGGGATGGTTGACCAGTAGATAGCGATAGATATGTTAAAAAAAAAAGAAAAATCAATAAAATATTTTTAATGCGCAGAAGAAAACACAAAAAGTGCAGAAGGGGATACAAATAAAAGTTTTGTTATCACCTTGTTAAATTTAATATATATCAGAACAAACTGTTACAATTCAGTTGCTTATACAAGCTCCTTATTCTTTGTATAGCAAAATGGTGTGTTTGTTGATGATTGATAATTTCACATACAAAAAAGAAATCTGATAGGCTAGAAGACATGCTGTAGTGGAAAACCCAGTATGCATGCAGGTTCCTAGTTATAGGGCTACTCCCTTGCCTTGGTTCACCTACCTACCCACCTCTACCACCGCCACAGAATTTTCAAAGGTTACTTGGTAGCCTAATGTGAAGTAAAGTATTCCACAAACTGGAAAAGGGTATGGTGTGTTGGGGATACTCCCCAGATGTAAGAGAAATTTACATGTTAGGCATAAGAAGCCTCCTTTGATCTTAGGAAAACAGAGGTGATGTAGCTTTTGGCATCTTTCCCACCAGATGGCTTGGGAATAGCCACCTGGATGCCAAGTAATTCTTATCTGAGCCAGTTGTAAACAATATGTATGGCTTTAGGAAAAATATAAGCTGGGTTAAAATGCTTTAATAAAACAGAATACAGAATTTAAATGAGGGTAGAAACTTGGGTGTTATAAATGTTAGTTACAAAAATTAAAACCCTGAGAACTTATGAAACTATTGATGTCTTACCTTAAAGAAATCAAAAAATGAAATGTGCTTCACAATGGGACCATATAAACTTTCATCATGTTTAAAAAAGAAAAAGTTGGTAAAAGCAGCATCTATGAGTTCTGGGTGTTTTCTACTGAGTTTTACAAGCTCAAGTCTTTCCTTCCGGCTGTCTCGCCCTCTCCAGAGGGCTGTAGTGTTTTTGCTCTCCCATGGGGGTCCTGTGTTAGCTTGGACAGACATCATATCCAAACTCACTCTAGAAGACAGAAGAATCAAAAGACGTTCCCTGCTAAAATTCAAAGGTTCTTTATATTAAAAATCATATGCTTATATAAACCTGAGTAGATCATACCTTGATTTGGATAAAAGTCAACAGAGAAATAAAACTCCTACTCTGAGAAAACTCTAAGTGACCACTTACCGGCCCATAGTCTCTAAAACAGAATCAGTCAAGTCATAGGTCGGCATCACGATATCTTTGGAGTCAGTAGATCCGCACCAGGAAAATATGGGATGGAGGTTTGCATTGGATTTCCTTTTCTCCAAAGGCCAATCTCCTAAATTAACAAAAAACTCAACATCTGGCATTTTCACCTAAGAAAACAAAAATAATTCTGGTGACTGACTGCCACTAGAGTAGTTAGGTGTGTCATATAGTTCTTTTTAGAATAATATTTATCAGTCAAATCAGAAATGAAAATCCAATGACATGATGGGTTGCCAGGCCATGATGTGTGAGCCCAAGCAGCTTTAATAATAATAAGGATAATTCCACTCAGCAAATATATAGTGCATGAAAGCACTTTGTCACACGGGCTGAGATTCTTAAAATCTAGCCACTATAATCTAATCTAGCTACTGCTCAGATTCTTAAAGTCTAGCCAATAGTTTACTAATGTTCAGACTCCTTAAGAGTCTGCCCAATAATATGGATGTTCTAATAAACCTTGTCTTTGGCTGAAAGAAGGCTTCTTTTGGCCAGGACCCAGGTGTGGTGATTTTGTGGTTCCAGCACCTCTGAACCCCTAAACTGCGTCAGAAGGAGGGGGGAGGGGCAGCAGCCACAGCGTGGACCCCCCTGGCAATGGCCTTGCACTCTAGGGCAACTTTTGCCTGAAAGCATCACCCAGGTTCAGCACATCCTGCTCAAGGTAATGAAGCTAGCTTCTAAACTTAGAAATTTGTGTCTTCTAGACTATGGACCATTCAAAACAGCGGGTACTAGCCAATGCCTCCACATTGTTCCCTTGATGCAGCCTCTGCTTGGTTCCAGTCAACCTCCTCTTTCAGACCCCCTTGAGGCAGGGACAACTCTATACCCCTTGCCAGCAGGAAGCAGTTTCAGAAGCTGAGACCCTCTCCCCTTATTCCAAAAGAATTTGGGTCCCATTTGTTTGAGGGGGGAATGATGAGGATGGGATCTAGACCCCAGAAAGGGAAAAACCCTGGACTTTCCCACACAGCCAAATCTGTGGCATTCGCTATAATCCCATCAACTGGCCTTTCAGGGTAGCCAATCTCCCCTCCATTGTCTTGCCTCCCTATGGCCCCAGGCCACTTCCCACCTTTGGTAATTCTATTACCTCAAGGACCTGGCCACTCCTAGATCCCTCCCACAGTCTTTCTGTATATAAAGTCCTCTTGTCTGCATTAAGATACCGGGATTCTTATAATCTAGCCACTGCTGAGATTTTTACAATCTGGCCAATAGCTCACAATCTAGCCAATAGCCCACAGATGCTCAGGTTCCTTAAGAGTCTAGCTAAAACACGGATCTTCAATAAACCTTGTCTTTGGCTGAAAAAAAAATGTCACACAGTATATATTTGCTAAGTGGAATTATTATTAAACTTGCTTAGGCCCACACATCATGGCCTGGGGACCCATCATTTCACTGAGTTTCTATTACTGATTTTGATTGATAAGTGTTTCTCTTAAAAAAGAGATCCATTTCTTCTATAAAAGAAAAATGAGAATAATTTAGAAACAACAAAATAAGAAATTGTGAAATCATCTGCAGAGGGAGAATGAAGGAGAAAGAGAAGCAGGGGAAGGAGAGTGGGAAAGGGAGAGGGAAAGAAGGGAGAGGAAGGAGGAGGAGGATTAAGTAGGGAGGGAAAGAGACACTGTGGTAGGGAGAGAAGTTCGGGTTTTTTTAAACTTCAGTTTTTGATCTAGCAGTTTAAATCATTAAAAATACAACCAGTTGATTTTTTTCTACTGGCTGAAAAATAAGTTATACTTAATGTATTATATAAACCTGTTAACTCTATCTTAATAATAATGAGGCAGAACAGAATGAAGAACTTGGAGTCAGAAGGACCATGGTTCAGATCTGAAGCTCTTTAACTCTAGAGAAGGCAGTTAACTTCTCATGAGCCTCAGGCAAGTTTCTCAGATTTATCTACCAAATTTTAGAGGGATTACCATTTATATTGGTGATAAAATTAGAGTTCTTGCTCTTTTGACTTTTCTTAAAAATAAAAATAATTTGTAGCATTTACAAAGTACTGCAAAAATAATCTCATTAGCTCCTTAATATACTCTGGTGGGGTTGATAGGACAGATACTATTATACCATTTTGTAGATCAGGAAACTTAGGCTCAGAAATATAAATGACATCTAATTACATACTTATGTTACTTGTAAAGTAGATTCATTTCCTGAGTATCTGCATTGAGTTAGCAAGCAGGGGACAATTGAAACTCAGCCCACTGTTCAATGCAATGGAGTAGAATATTGGAGTCATGGCTATTATTTTCTCTCTCTCTCTCTCTTCTCTCTCTCTCTCTCTCTCTCTCTCTCTCTCTCTCTCTCTCTCTCTCTCTCTCTCCTGATTCTCTTACTGTGCAACCAATTTCAATGTTTCTTCTGTAAAAGAAAGATAGGAATTTTTCCTAAACAGATCCATACATACAGAATATTTGCAAGTGCTTCATGATCCTTTAGTCTATTTGCCTGGCCTGTAGAAGATGCTTTATAAATTTTGTTATATTATATTTCATTTATATTATATATTATATAATCAAACAGGAAAGGTGCCTTTAGTTCAATAAATATTTGTGATTATTTAACTAATTTGTTAATTACCACCATTACATGAATGTGAACATGAACAAGCATTTACTAAATCCCTACAATGTAGCAGGCACTGTGCTAGGTACTAGGAATGAGAAGACAAAAACAAAATGGCTCTTGCCCTTAAGGAGTTATAAGGGGGAGTAGTGTAGAGCATCATTCAAACAGATAAGCAATATATTACACAAATGAGATAGAAGATGATTTGGGGAGCACTAGCTACATAGGGAATCAACATAGGTTTCTTATGAGAGGTGGCATTTGAGCTGAAGAAAGCTAATGATTTATTTAAGGGTGGCTGAGGTAAAGAGCTTGCTCATTTCAGGCATTAGGTGCATCCTGTTCAAAGGCAAAGAGAGAGGAGATGGAAATGTGTATGAGGAACAGCATGTAGACCTGGTTGGAAAATAAAGTACTATAAGGAGGAAAATGTACAATAAGCTTAGAAAGGTTAGGCAGCAGCTAGGGTGTGAAAGGTTTAAAATATTACAGTAAATCTAGTTTTTATCCTAAAGGCAATTGGATGTCACTGGAGCTTCCTGAGCCAGAGAGTGATGTGGTGAGAACATAGTTTTAAGAATATCAATTTGCTGGGGCAGCTAGGTGATGCAGTGGATAGAGCACCGGCCCTGCATTCAGGAGGACCTGAATTCAAATCCGACCTCAGACACATAACACTTACTAGCTGTGTGACCCTGGGCAAGTCACTTAACCCCATTGCCTAGCCAAAAAAAAAAAGAATATCAATTTGCTAACCCATGTGAAGGATGCATTGAGGGACAGGGAGATCAACTCAGAGGCCAATGTAATTGTCCAGGTGAAAGGTAATGAGGTCCTGAATTAGGATAGTTGCCATATGTCTGGATAGAGAGGAATGATATCAGAGAGACTGTGGAGGTACTATTGACAAGCCTGGGCAACTGGTTGGATATAAGGGAGAAGGTGAAGGCAGAGTTGAGAATGATTGTGAACTTGGGTGACTAGGTGGAATTTTAAATGGAAATAAGGCAATTAGGAAGGTGAGGTGGTTCTGAGGGAAAGATTTTTTTTTAAATTTCAAACATATGGAAAAATCGAGTTGGAGATGCCCAGGAGGCAGTTTGTGGCATCAACAGTTAGTGTCTGATGGTCATCAGCACTGTCTAACATGAGTTATTTAAATATTGATGCCAAAATATTGCACTAGAATCTTCTCCCTCCCCCCTCCCAATGCATGTAGGCTTTATGTACCAAAGTATCCAAAACACTTCATTCTAAGGCAAGGTTGTCCTCTGACTTGGACTGTAAGGGGTGGCATTTAAACAATGCTATAATATAGAGCACCTGCATAGAAAGAAACCTGAGCTTGAGATGGGCATTCCAATTCAGAGATAAAATATACTCACTTTTCTGGTCAAAGAAAGTAGTATGGCATCCATGAAAATCCTAAAACCTACATGTTCACCGTGAGTCTTGATATAAATCTGAAAGAAAATTTGAAATCAGTCATACCAGTCAAAAAGTATTGCCTTCATTAAGAGCAAGCAGGTAATATGATTGTTATTGTGATCTTTGACCAAAGTTTAGCTAGTGAGGTATGCACACACACACCCACATATAATAAGAAAAATTGAAAACAAATCAAAAATATTATTGCATGCATTATCGTATTGTGTAAAACCAGTTACTAATGCAGAGTCATTGGGAGTGACCCCATGTTTTAATCTTGCTTGACTTTGGGGAGGATGGTCCTGCTGGAAAAGGAAATATGCATTAGCCCTAATGGTATTTCCTTATCACTAAGTCAGTTTCTTCATAATCAGTAGTGGCAGGTTCTACTCAAGCTCCCTAACCCTATCTCTATATTAAAATCCTAGACCAGTCAAAAATACACAGAGAAAAGTTGAGGCAGCACTAATCTCACCTCCTCACAATTCTATGATCCAATCAAAATGCCTTTGCCCTTATATGGAAGATGTTACTTCTGTTTATAAAGGCTGTTCACTCCTTAAATCTGGGTAGCCCCAGCACTCTGCCTTGGGGTTAATAAACTCCTTTTTGACTTTATCTCACTGAGTTTTGCCTCTTTAATCAGGATGAAGGCCCCAACATAGAATATTCCTTTCAACAGTACCTTGTTGTCTTTCACAGTGTAGTGGCACAAGCTCTGTCTTTGTCCAAACCTCTGTGGAATTTCTACTGCAATCTTATCTGGATCCACTGTGGGGAAAGGTTCAAGGTCTCTCTGGATCTGGGGAATGCTTTGGGGGCAGTTCATCTCCTCTAGCCAGGTAGCACTGTCTTCAATCGGACAGTTACAGTTCTCATGATAGACAGGCCCTAATTACATACAAGTCACATGTCAAAATGTAGCAGCAATAATGTCATTTAGTATTCTCACAATTACAGTACATTACCACCATTACATATAAATAAAAGCTTTTGGACAAATTAAAGGGGAATGATAGACTATTAAATTTTTTTTTATTATGCTAGAATATTCTTAGTGCCAATTTTCCAGGATGATAGGAACCAAACTTATCTGGGGGTCAAGAAAGACCCATTATATACCAAATTCTGTTATGTACTGAAAAAAATATATTGTTACAATTGTACTGTCCTTTTGAGTTCATGTGGTGACCTCTACTAAGCCAACCATGAAGACAATCCCTACTACCACCACCACCACTACCTGTGGACAAGTTCTTATATTAAAAGTAAAAATGATTGTATTTATAGGTAACTTAATAGACCAGATGGATATGTGGCCTTAGTCATTTGGGCAGTAATTGGTAGAGTTAGGACGCTTTGTTAATATCAGAATACAGTGTCTAAATAAAGGGCTTCTTCTATTCAGGGCAGAATTCTTGTGTTACTGATGATGAACTTAATTTTAATGGGCACTTATTTTTAAAACATAAGACTATATAAAGTTGTTCCTGTGGTTTGTATGAACTCCTGAACTGAACTTGATTCACAGAGTTATTGGAGAGATTAGAGGTCTAAATTTATAGTTGGCACTTTATGAGTAAGAATATGAATTGATAGAAAGTAAAAAGTGTGGAAGACAAAGTCAGAAAACCTGGAAATTATTCTTTGCCATATGACATGACAGCACTTTGTAAATTATAAAAAGTTATTCAAAGATAAAGAATTACTGCTAAGTATTAACAATTCTCTCACTGATAATTTAAAGCCTCGGACTACATGAATTTTTCCATTTCTTTTTCTTTTCTCTCTTTTAACTTTATTTTTAATTAACAAACATCTATTTTCTCTCCTCATTAAAAAGACAAAAAAACCCCTTTGCCCTTTGGTAATCTAGATTTTGGGTCTCCACTGGAAATTACAGACACAAAGTTTTAATAGTTACTTAATATATTGTCCCCCCCACACCTAACCAAAATCCTATTTTGATGTGTCATTAAGGCACGAAGGTGACTCTATGTCTCAAAAGGCTATAAAAGAGCATCACAAACACTGATTGGTTCTACCAAGCTGGAAAGGCTTTGAGTACCAACCTCAAGGACAGATTCCACATCTGTTGTGCAAGGAATTGCATAGATAAACTTGGCGCATAGGGACACGTAGTTTTCCCCAACTGGCCCCAGGATGATTACTTTTTTGGCCACAAGACTCAAGAAGACTGTCTTCTACTAAGGTGTGGAAGGGTCACTATTTGCATCAGCAAGAATATCCACATGAATGAAATCAGAAATCCTCTAACTATTAAGGCAAATACTGTCTTCAGCATTCTGGCCACAAACTTAGAGACCTAAGCTGTTAAATAAATAGCTACTTAATTTGACCATTTTCCATCCTGGATGTGAACTTCCCTCTGGGAAACACAGCATTATTTTCTTATTTTACTTGCTGAAATAGAGGTTATGTCTGTCTCAAGAATCACCAATTGTACCAGTTCTGGGAGCACAAAGTTTTGTAGTTCTTTCCTTTGTAGGTAGCTATGCCACTCTCCTGATAAGTTTAAAATGCTCTTTTGCTTCCCCAATACTATTTAACCTATGCTAAGTGATCTGGGTGAAATAAGTTGTAACTAGATTGTAAACTCCTGAGAGGCAGGGAATCTTATTGTTTGTATTCTTCACAATATCTTGCATAGTGTTTTGAACATCACTTAATATTTAATGAAATACTAGGTAGGAGAAGAAAAAACTGACCACATTTATGCTTCTCCATGAATACCTTTTATTAAAAATGACCAAATATCTTAAAAACTATCAAATTGTTTTCTAATCTATAAACATGACATGTTTAGCTGCAAGAATGTTTGGTTTTCCTCACTTAGCTGCCAAGACCAGGCTAACTAGGTTCAGAGGAGGATGCCCATTCATGAGGTGGGGATTTTTTGGGGATTCAAGAACCCATGAAGCCAATCTAATAATAGCTGGAGGGCTTGTGATTTGAATATTTTGATAGCACCTATATCCAAGAAATAATTGTGGATCTTCTGAGAAAACAAAACAAAACAACCACAACTGCTTATTTGTCTAGTTTTTTCTTCATAGATTGTGTTCTTTTTTCTAAACACTTCTATTCCTCTTTAGCTAAGCTATAAATTCTTTTCAGATGCAGTATTGAAAGACCTTATCTCCTTTTGTCAAGCTTCTGAATCCCTCCTTCATATGGATGTCTTCAATTTACTCCTCTTTTTTGGAGGCTTGATCTCCTTATCTCAATCAGGCTAGGTATGCCACTGCACTTAAAGGGCACTCTGCTTCTAACTTGGGCTCATCTGCCCCTCTTTAGGTAGCCTAGTGGCCTCCCCTAACCCAGGGCCCACCAAAGGAATGCCAGACTTAATGCTCAGAACTTCCAGGTTCAAGCAATTCACCAGCCTCAGCCTCTCCAGTAGCAGATATTACAGAAGTACACCCTCACACTCAGCTTCAATTTACTGCTTTTAAAGGCCTTCAAAATATGATGTTTATAAATTGATGTCAAGATGTTTCTACTAAAGAATAAGAAATTAGTATTTGCTTCTGGGTTTTTAAGAAATATAACATACAAAAATGTTGCAATTAACCATTTCTTAAATTACCTTTCAAAATATATGGAGACTTGGCTACATGTTGACCCTGGACTTTAACTTCTATCTTCAGATTTTTGTAGCTAGCATACATTCTGTATCTCACAATGAAGGATCCATCATTTCGGTCCAAAACCTGTACTCCCACTCGTGTGAACTGTTCATCTGGTGCTGAGATCTTAACCTGGAATACCTTTTCACCTGGAGAGGTAGTGAACCTATAATAGGAATTATGACAAGTTGTAAGGACATAACATTATCTTTTAATAAAGTTCTCTAAATGTTCTCCAAATTGTACCCACAGGAAATTTGTTGCCTGATCATGACAGTAAATAGCCTTTATTACTCTCCTTTGCCTTTTATCTTACTCTCTGCCTCTCCATTTTCTGCTGTGCATTTCTGGTATAGAAGTGGCAAAGATGAGCTACAAATGCAGAAAGATGGAAAAAAAGGCAGTTTTTGAAGTAGTAACAATAATGTTTTCAGTACAAAATTGTCCAAGAGTAGTGTTAGATATATCTATGTGAGCAAGATCAATTTTGTACAAAATATATCTTAGCACAGTTGGTACATTATTATATTCTATGACCTGTAACTTCCATTTATGTACCACTCCCACCTCACCAGCTACTTCAAATGAACAGAAGTGAAGATTTTAAAAGGAATGGCTATTAAGCTCTGTGCATATGCATCAGGACACTGATTTTTCTGAATGTTTGAGCAGTTAAGTCACCAGGTGATCAAAGTCACTATCCTTTAATTTTAAAACCCAATAAAGAATTATTTGTTCCTACTCCAAAACACACTTTTCCATATCTGTATTAACTGGCCAGTTACAAAGATTCTACTTCTACAGAATACTTAGTAGAGTATCCATTAGCCATGAATTCAGATGTATTTGTTTAAAAATAGTTTTTAAAAAGCACTGATTATAAAACACTTTTGGTGAATTGAACATCTTAACGTGGAAACACTGCTCTTGTAACAAACAACTCAGGGGTTTCATATTTTGCTACTTCTATGTTAGAAATAATGTTGTAATTTTCCTTCAAACATTAAGTTTCAAAACATGTTTAACTTCCGGTGAATGGAAGAGAACAATCTAAGGAAGAAAAAAAAGGGGAGACCACTAGATGGAGCTGAAATGTAGTTTGTAGTCTACTCTAGAGTAAAGGGGTTGAAATTGATTTCAGATGTTTTAAACCCTAGATCAGTCAACCAAAAAGTATTTATTAAGCACTTACCATGTGCCAGGCACTGTGGGTAAGCACTGGGGATACAAAGAAAGACAAAAACCCGGTCCCTCCTCTGAAGAAGCTCACGTTCTTGCTGCTGACAATGTTAGAGATTTAAAACAAAGGAGGCTCTCTCCAAATAAATCAGATATAGGAGGGATGAGTCGGGATGGATCGGGATGGATCGGGATGGATCGGGATGGATCAGGATGGATGGGTTTCCAACCTCGGTTGAGATTATTCTCCCTCACATTTAGGAAAAAGTATCAATAAAAGGCTTAGTGGTCAAGCCTTATTGGTCAATAAAAGGCAGAAGGTGAATGAACTGGCAGTTATAAGGTTAACACTACTTACAGTAGAGGAATTTAGCAAATTTTAAAAAGAATGAATCTAAAAATTCTAGAAAATAAAATTTATTTGAAGAATTTCCCTTGTTTACTCCCTTATTTCTTCTTTTTCTCTCTTCCCAGATACAACCTATGAAATTAGGATAGATTTTAACCATGCTCAAAAATAGTATTAAGAAGAAGCTGTGTTACTTACTTCTGACCTGCGGAATCCACAGCCTGAATATAGAAATACCGGGCAGGCAGAACAACATTGGCTTTTAGGCCAGGTCCCCATATTAAACAGTTTTCTGGGTTTACTCGTCGCTCTTCACCAGTCGCAGCAAATGCTGGAGTTGTTTCCAGAAAGAGGTAGCAAAGCAACAAAATGCTAAACATTTACAAAATTTACTAGTGAAACAACACACTGACTATGAAGTTTCCAACTCGGCCAGCACCAGTGGGGAACGTGCCACTTTGTCCGTGAAGAAACGCTCATTCACCAATTATAGCTGCAAATATATCTGCCAATTCCAACAGCATGTACATAGGAAGTAGATTTTCCTTAAAAATAATAATTCAAAGTTCGAGTACCTCTACTTTCCTCCAGGAGAATTAGCAGGAGATGGAGATTCTCTTCAAAGTATGCCAAACCTACAGAGGTTTCAACCAAGCACTACACTGTTCCTTTTGCAACGGACAAAATGAACTTTTCTTTTACACTCTTGCAGCAAGAGCATCACCTTGGGTGAGTTGGCCCCCAGGACCAGCCAAAGATGAAAGCAAAAGTGATTGGCTCTTTTCTCAAAGACTTGCTAAATAATCTCTTTTCCAAATGGATGTAATTGTTAAATATCTTTGGCTTCAGGGGCATTCTGGGATCTGTAGTTCATGTAAATGAAATACCGGAAATCTGAGAGGGATAGCATTTAACAGAATCTCATTTATTCAACACATTACCTGTTTTCAGTGAGAAGAAAAATTATCATTCATACTAATCAATACTCAGAATATGAAGCACTGCAGTTTGGCATCACAAAGAATCCTGTTTGCTTCCCCAAAACTCAACTATCTCAGAAATTTACACTTTCATAATCACTGGATAGCTCTATATTCACAGGTCGGAACTTAAAGATAAAGCATCATTTCGGAATTGAATGACTCTTAATTAAAGACTTGAACTCTTTGGTTATGAATATCTTCCCTCTCCCTTACTACCCTCAAAAGGTGTGGGGATGAGTAGTGGGAGGGGAGGGTCTTCTAGAGATAGGAAAAGAAACTTCAATGCCCAGCGTCCCATAGGATAGGATTTGAGTGAGACAATGAAAGAGGGAGGGAGGGAAGGAAAGGTTGCATTCTGGAAGTTGTAGTACGTTTGGACTGAATTGGGTTGCTGTAGTGACCAGAGATCTTCTCCATTAAACATGCAGGACAAACTAAGTGGGGCAAAGGGAATGGATAGAGATCAAAGTTGGCCTTAAATTTGTGTACTGCAGGCTCCCTCCTGAATGGATACAGATTAGGGATCATGGTTAAGGTGTGTTTTTATATATTTCACCTCAAGTTATAAGACCTCACAATAAATGAGGATAAGAGTTTGTAGAAAAAATATATTAGTCTTTTTAATGCAATAATTAACTTTGCTTCTTAAACAGTGGCCTAGAAGATAGGAACACCTGTGATTCAGGGTCAGAGGGTAAGAGAAGAAATGCTAGAGAAAACTGGATAATAGTTACCTTCATGAGACTTTATTCAGGTTTCCATTCATCAGCTTTCTTCAGAAGATTCTTTCTAGTGGTCTAAGTATAAAAAAGTAGGAGCCACATAGAATCTCAGAGTTCAGTTTGAGTCTCTGATAATAAATTCCCACATGAAGGAGACAGAGACACTGCATATTACTGTGTCCTCACTTGGGTATCAGTCCCTTCATAAATAAAGCCTTGCTATATATTCCCAGATGCTCCCTTCTAATTCCACATGTGGCACTGGGTTTGGCATCCCTATGGTCAATAAACATTTATTAGACACCTACTATGTGCCACTACAATATGAGTACAGCTACCTAGCCTTCCTAAGTACCTTCTTCACTATTCAAAATGGGAATGCAAACTTAGTACTTAAAAAAAAAAAGCTACATCATGGTCTAGTGAAAAATCACAATCAACTTAGAATCATAAGTTGCCAGGTGCAAGCTCCCACTTTACAATTTGGGCAAATCACTTAATACCCATGAGTCCTAGTTCCTCTTCTTTTACGACTTATGACAGTTAGAAAGCATGGTACGATGATTAGAGAACTGGCCTTAGAATCAGGAAGACCTAGGATCAAGTCTTACCTTTGACACATACTAGATATGAGACCATATGTTCATCATTTAACTTCTCAATGTTTCCAGGTAACTTGTAAAGTAGGTACAGACTGGCATTGAGAAGACGGAGTTTGTATACTGGGTGTTACTTAAAGACAGCATGATGGAACGAGTGATGTATTTAAAATCAAAGAACTTGAGTAAAATCCTGGCTGTGCCACTTAACTACTTTTTTCGACCATAGGCAAGTCCTTTACCTTCTTTGGGCCTCTATTAGATTAGATCATTACCAAGGTCATTAATGTGTAAATCTTTGATCTCGTATAAATGAAAACACATGTCTCATCCAAGAAAACAGAACATTAGTGCTTATGTTGCCTGTTCCATTGAGAAGATCAGAGTTGGAAAGGATTTCGGAGGCCATCTTTTCTAACCCATACTGGAACAAAAATCCCCACTACAACAGTCCAAGAAAATTGTTAACTGGTCTCCATTCCCTGGGGCAAACCTATTTTGAACCTAATCCTCCCCAATTCCTCGGGCAAACTAAATCCAATTTGAACTTCCCCCATCCCTGGGGCAAACCTAATCTAAACCTATTGCTCATGTTATTGCTCTGTGGATCATACTGTCCTAGGAGTTTTCTTGGCAAAGATACTAGAGTGGTTTGTCATTTCCTTCTGCATTGGACTAAGGCAAACAGAGGTTAAGTGAATTGACCAGGATCACACAGCTAGCGAGTGCTGAAGCCAGATTTAAACTCAGGTCTTCTTGATGCCAGGTCCAACACCCTATCCACTGCACTGTCAAGCTGCTTCCTTTAATATTATTCTCTATTTCTGCATTCTCAGTGACTGGCCTATAATAGGTGTTTAATAAATGATTCTTGATTGAATAATTGATAGATTTTCCAATATTTTGGAATTTCATGTTGTTCAGTCATGTCTGACTCTTTGTGACCCCATTTAGGGTTTTCTTGGCAAAGATACTGGAGTAGGTTGCCATTTCCTTCTCCAGCTCATTTTACAGATGAGAAAACTAAGGCAAATAGGGTTAAATTACTTGCCTAGGGTCACATAGCTAGTTAAGTGTCTGAGGCCAGATTTATATTTAGGAAGATTAGTCTTCCTGACGCTATCCACTGTACCAACTAGCTGCCCCATCCAAATCTAAACTTTGGGAATCCCTGAGGTGGTCCCAAACCTAAACTGTATCAGTCCCTGGGGCAAATTTAACCTAAATTTAAACAGTCTCAATCCCTGGAGCAAACTTAATCTAAATCTACACCACTTCAATCGCAGTGATAAATTAAATTTAAAACTAAACCTAAATATTACCTTAGCACAGAAGAAGGAGGGATTGAGCAGAAATCCTACCTCTGAAGGCAGTCTTCCAAGAAAAAGTCCCCAAGTGAAACCCCAGCATTCCAGGGAGTTTTTATGGAAGGCTGTTGGCCAGGTGTCTGAGTTCTGACTCCACTTAGCATGGCTGGCCAAAAATTGTGGCAGGTGGAAGCTGAAAAGTGACTGAGGTAAACAAAGGTTTAGTCTTAGAGCATATCAATTTATGAAGCAATGCAGACCAATTGCTTAACAAATTAGCCCCTAGCTGAAGAAGAGGCCTGGTCCCAATTTGTTAGGCAATTGGCCTGCATTGCTCAATAAACTGATATATGCTCAGAAGACAGAATCTTTGTTTTCCTCAGTTATTTCATCCTTCATCCACCACAATGAAGGATCTTAGGGAAAAAAAATCCATGACTGTAAAATGAGCCCTTCTGTCTTCTAATATTATCACAAGGACTCCAAAATAGGAAAAAAAGAACATGATTTAAAATTCTTTACAGTCTGACCATGTCAAACCTCATGTCACTTCTAACTCCTTAGCACAGGACCTCTCACATAGTAAGTGTTGAATAAATGCTTGCTGAATGGCTGGCAGTTCCTTCAATCAGACTTCTGGTGGCACAGTCTTCAGTGCCTTTAAGATCTGGGTTGCCCCATTCTAGGCTTGCTACAGCTATTGAAATAAAAAGAAATTTGAGGAAAGGCTTTTAAGTGCTATATAAGAGCCAAGTACTATTAAACCCTTTGGGGCCTTTCCTCATTCCAGTCTGCTTTCTCCTCCATTTCATTTGTCCACATCTTTTTTCAGGCTCGGTGCCAGAACTGGACTAGTTGCTACTTTTGTCTCTTGCCTCCCCTCTGGCTGCCACTAAGCTTAGATATGGATAGATAGGTAGTGGGAACCGGCCTCTTCGAAGCAAGGCCAGAATTCATTTTTGCTTTAGTGAATAAATGAATACAGACGCTTACAACCTTTCCGGCTGCGGCTACTGTGACCTTTCCCCAGGGACGCAGAAGCTGGCAGAAAAAAGCGAATCCATGGTAAAAGACCAAGCATAGTACTCCGTCCCGCCCTCTGGTCACCCATTTGGGATCAGAGCCCTCAGCTTCCGGTGCTGGGGCCGGGGCGGTGTATCCTTGCATCCTCTGACAGGCTGTGCCTTTCTCCACCCCTTCTCTTACTTGGCCAACCCCGGGGAGGTAGAAACCACATCTCAGTAGGGGAGGGAGACTGGGCTGTCTGGGGCTGGAACCGCGAAGCTGCTCTGGCTCTGCAGCTGCCCGGGGTGAGTGAGTGCGTGCGTGCATGCGGCCGGTCCCGGGGCTACCACTCTCTTAGCTCGCATCTTCCCGTTGCCGGGGCCCTGCTGTAAAAGTCCTTTGCCGTCGCCAGACCCCCAGGGGCGAGCAGCACTGCCCTGTCGCTCTCCACTTCTCCCTGTCGCGGTGCCACTTCGACCCGGAGACAAGGTCCAAGACTGACGATCCTAAGTCTCCTACCCTCCTGCCCCACTTCCCTCCCCCGCAGCTTGAAGGCTGAGCCAAGGGAACAGACACCGTGTCCCTGAGCTGCACAAAAAAAGAGGGAAAGCAGTGCCTGGTCCTGAGGCCACCACCTCCTCCCCACGGCGCCCCAAGCAGTCAGGATGCTTGTCCCTTGTTTGCCCTTAGCAGGATCATAGCGTTGGAAGAGACCTAGAGGTCAGCTAGGCAGGCCAGGCTTCCTCCTGGAGATCGTGAGCTCGGGCTCTGGGTTAGGAAGGAGGAGGGGGAGGAAGGAATATGGCCTTACGGATAGATGAAAACTAAGGTGTACCGACAGGGGGAAAAGGAAAAGAGAGGAGGAAGGCTGGCTGCAGTCCTGTGGTTAGTTATTGTCTTGATGGGACTAACGTTACAGAGAGAGGCAATCTACGATCTAGTCCTGGCTCTGCTGTTGACCTGATATTTGACCTTGATAAAGTCATTCATACCCAACGCCTCAGTTCCCCCCGTGTAAAATGGGTGCACTAGTAGGGGTGCATTCCTCTTTTTAAACTCGATATCTAACAACCATAAGTTCACAAAACAGCAGCGACAAATTAGGTGGTTTTCTGCTTTGCAAAGGCTGTTTTTTTTTACTGGTTTTAATATGATTCTTTTAAACAGTAAACTTTTCCTGCTTTTAAAATATTCATCTGAGGTTCAGTTTATATACAACTTTTCAGGAATGACTCTAATGCCTAGGGTGAGGAGCACTTGTTATAAATGTATTTATAAATAAATTATGAAGAGCTTTCTTTTAGAAGAAACCAGAACTGAGCTCACAGGGTTTAGATGTATTTCATTAACTCTTAAACAGCAACGTCTGACATTATCAGTTATCTGGCAGCCTGTCTGGAGTGCTTTTGATAGAGGGGAGGAATCTTCAGAAAAGCCTAAACAGATATGATAAAGTTAATAATAACAATAATACATTTATATAGTGCTTTCTTGTTTACAAAGAATTTTCCTCAAACCCTCTCCATTAGGTAGCTAATGCAAATATTATTATGGCTGTGAAAATGTGAGGAAACTGTAGTTCATAGAGGTTAATTGACTTGCTCCCAGAGCTAGTAAGTATCAGATCTGGATTTGAACCCAAGTCTCCCTACTCCAAGTTCATTAACTTTGGGGGATTTCAATAAGAAACTCTTCACTTTTATTTTAGATACAATTCTAAAAAGCTTAGTTATTTGTTTTCATAGTCCATGTCAGATTCAGAAAAGCAAATTAGGAGTGTCTAGAGATATCACACTGATAGCACTAATAAGGGAGAAATTATTGCTTAACCGTTTCATTCATTCATTCACTCATTCATTCATTCATTCATTCATTATCTATCAGTGCCAGCTGTTAAAGGCACTATGCTAGGTAATGGGTATACAAAAACAAAAAATAAAACACCTATACCTTTAAGAAATTACTCTTTATTGGGGATAAACAACATGTACAGAAACATGCCAATATTAAATACAAGTATTAGAATACCTGATTTGGATCGTATCTGTGGTTGAAAAACTTCCCCCTCTAATTAGCATAATTCTACCAAAATTTAGGGAGAGGGTATTAATACCTGGGGGATCAAGAAAATCATATTGTACTTGAACTGAGAGTGAGGAAAGAGACTGAATATTATAAAACAGACAAAATTTTCCCCCAAAAAATATAGCAGTCTAAGACAAGCTGCTCAACATACTTCAGTAGTCCCTGAATCACTGTATTACAGTGCTATAAAATAATTGATACTCATAGTATGACTTTGAGTATTGAAGAAAAGTTTTAATTATGCTCGGTGTGTTATGTTTGAAAAGAAAAATATGTAATAAGTTTTAGAAAACCTTCCATCCGTGATGGTCAAGTTTTTTTTCTTCTTCTGACATTTAGAAGAAGCTTCAATTATTAGGAAAATAAAGCATCATGTTACTTGACCGGCATATTAATGTTAGGAAAGTGATAAAAAGACTGATCTCTCTGTCTTCTTCTAGAATACTTTCTCTTAGGTTTCAAATTGCAAGAAAAAGTTACCTATTTACACACATATATAGATACATGTATATATATATATGCATGCATGTATGTAGGTATTTATGTATATTTACACATATATTCAACTAAACCTTTAATTTCACAGTTGATTTTATATTGTGTGTAATAAAGGAGAACAGAGACTGCATGGATAACAGAACTCTACACGTAACATTTAAATCTTAGATAAAGCAGAGTTTTCAACTTTCCCCTGCTAGGCCAGAGCTGCTAACAAGTACAAACATGATTGGTATTTAATACACTTCCCTTCCTCCAGTGGAGCCGTTAATGGGCAAAGCAAATATGAGGATGAGAAGAATCTGGTTCTCAATAATCTCTGGATTGCATTATCAATCCCATCCAGAGTTTACTATTCGATTTTGAGGATATTTGTTGTTTTTAATAGAATTAGAGAATTAACTAAAGGCCATAATACTTCTTAAACCATTTTAACCTCTGAATTGCTTTCATTCCATATTGAAAGTATCACACAAGCTCACTTAAAGGCACCTCAGGAACCATCTAGTCCAAATCAAATATCAATAGGAGTCTTCTCTCTAATATCCCCAAAGATGATTAGCATACTTCTAATTGAAGTCCTCTAGGGATCAGTATCAGGGGCATCCACTCCTGAGATTTTTGGAGAGCTCTAATTATTACAAAGCTGTTTCTTACATCTACGTGAAAATTTCCTGGTTGTAATGTCATTATTATTCCTAGTTCTGCTTCTGGAGCTAAGTAGATTAAGTTTTGTCCTGCTTTTGTATGATAGAAATATGTGAATATAGCAATTATAACACCTACTCCAAGTCTTTTCTTTTCAAGGTTAAACATACCCAATTCCTTCACTGGCATGGTCTTTTCACTATTTGTTCCCATGGGAATCACTAAAATTAAGTACTGGTCATTAGGTTTGTCAAGTCTTGTAAGACTGTCATGTCCCAGATACAAGTCTCAAGAAGACGGCATGCTTCCTCATTGATGAGGTCAGGTCAACATGGCTCCACTGGTGTCTCTCAACAGAGTCGCCGTCTACTCCAACTTATCTTTTTTCTAATACTGGGTGGCCTCACTCCAGATTCTCCTTATGGAATCCTCATCTTATTCCTTCCTGAGTGGCTACCTTCTCTCAAGTGGGTACAGCTTTATTGTCTATAGGAAGTGTATATCTATATAGGTGTTCAGCTCCAAAGGTTTAATAGTCCTGTTTCTTTTCCTTTTAAGGGATATATTCTATATTCCAACCTCCTGACATAGGTTAGGATTCTCTTTTACATCGTGAAATTTTTTTTTCCTTTTTTGTTTTTCCTTTGAAGTGAGACTCCATTGATTTTTCATCCACATAAAAGCAATTACCTTTGTTGGGTAAGAACACTTTTTGATTAAATCTGTTCATTAGAATCAGGTATGAACAGGGCCTGTACTTAGACCTGTTTGAATGGATCACAGCCATTGTGTGAGAGATTTGGTGACCTAAGGAATTTGTATAAAAGAAAGGAGTAATTTCAGAACCAGATAGAGATTTTGAGTATCTGGAAGAGAGAGAAGTGAAGCTATGCAGAGTAAAGCCAAGAACTGTAAGCCCTGGGGCAACCAGTGAAAGGAGAATGAGAAAGTAGTCCTGAGCTGTGATACAGAAGGGAGATGGATATTCAAGAGGACTGGCAGCTCTACAGGCATGTGAGAACAAAAGAACAAGGCTGATTCCACTGGTATACTCATGTACTCAAGGACCTTTTCCCAAGAAAAGATCCGCTCTTTCCTCATCTTCTACTGGTGTCATAAACACTCTAATATAATCTGTTGTTTCATTACCCAAACATCCCCAGTAACCTGAATTTTTGCATTAACCACAGAGAGGTCAGGGGTTAAAGGGATAGATGTAAATGTAAATTTAGAAGAAGAGACCAACCTCCACCTAAATGTTAAGAATTTTCTTACTGGGAGTTAGAGCAATTTTAATAGAACTTAAAACTTTTCATCGTGAATAAACTCCATAAAGCCACAGAAGAAGGACCTTCTGAGTCATTAATGCTGCCCCTATTCTGAAGATGAGCTTATTATTATATTATTATTATTATATTGGTGTTACACATTCCTTTCATCTTCTCTTATAATAGGGAACCTAATATTTATTTTGCTTACAAATGAATGTTACTTGACCTTGAGGGAAGCACATATTCCAGTGTTTAAGGGCACAGAGAAAATTGTTATTGTCTTCTGTACTTGTTGAACCTGAGTATTTGCTGTATTCATTGCTAACTCTCTTGGCTAACTGCTATAGCTAACCACCGTAGCAAACTTCTGGTCATTGAATAGGGACCCTATCATTGGGCTGTCTGATTTGGATCTATCTATGGTAGAAAAATTTTCCCCATAGTTAGCATATTTCTACCAAATCTCTAATGTAAACCAAAGATGTCTTTGTTGCCTGTGAGGTCTTTAAAAAAATTATTGGAGAGACATCATGCACATCTCACCCTTTACCTGTGAACTATCCTTTGCAATACAGAATGAAAAGAAAGAAAAAACAGTTTAGCAAAATTAACCAACATGTAAGAAAAAGTTTTATGTTATAGGTAGTGTTTCAGACCCAAAGATCTCCAGCTCTGCAAAGAAACTCGATGATGTGTCTTGTCATAACTCTAGTTTGGGAACAAGATTGGTAATTATAATTTCTAATCATTCAGTTTTGATTTTTTTGATAGTAATGTTACATTCTTATAATATACATTGTCAGGCCATTTCCCAATTGATGGCTATCTCTATTGTTTCTATATCTTTGCTACAACAAAAATTGTTACTATGAATATTTTGGTATGGGCGGGGTTGTTTTTATTACTGACCTCTTTTGACCATATGCCCTGCCCTGAAATCTGGGTCAAAGGTTATTAGCATTTTAGTCACTCTCTTCACACAATTCCAAAGTGCTTTCCATAGTGATTGGGCAAATTCGCAGCTCCACCAACAGTGTATCATTGTGTATGTCTTTCTATAACCCCTCCAACAATGACTGTTCCTATTTTTTTGTTATCTGTGCTAGTTTTCTGGGTGCAAAGTGAAACCTCAGATTTGTTTTCGATTTGCGTTTATGTTAGTAATGCTTTGAAACATTCTTTCATATGGTTAATAGTTTGTAATTCTTGTTTTGAGAAATGTTCATATCTTTTACCTGTGATTGCTTAGGTAGAAATCTAACCTCTAGCTATGCCTTGCTTTTTTTTTCCCTTCTTTTTTTCTCAACTGATCAGTTTTTAGTTAACTTCTGCCATTGTCCTCTCATCATTTGTGTCTTTTGTGACCATATTCCTTATGGTACTGAACAAAAATTCAAATAAGTATTGCCCTTCCCCTGCCTCTCCAAGAAAGCTTTTACCACCTCTAAGTATACTCTTACTCTATTAAGATACTTAAGACCTTTTGAAAAATAATTTTAGCAGAAAAAACATACCAAGCACAATATTTAATGTTTATTAGACAGCTTCATAAACATATATTGTAATGTGGTAGAGTGCTGGTCATAGAATTGGGATGATCTGGGTTCAAGTCTTACCTCTGACATACTGGCTGTGAGACTGATGTCAAGTCAAAAAGCCCAACATAATGTGATACCCTCCTACTTTTCCAGTTTACTTATACCTTACTTCACCACATATACTCTTCCATCCAGTGACTTTCTTGCTATTTCTTAAAAAGGCACTCCATCTTCCTACTCCATGCATTTTCATTGCCTGTTCCCTATACCTGAATATATCACCTTTATCTCTGCCTTTTGGCTTCCTTGGCTCCAAATCCCAGCTAAGATCACATCTTCTCCAAGAAACCTCTCTGAATCCCCCTTAATGCTAAAAATGCCTTCCCTTCCTTGATTTTTTCCAATTTCTCCTATTTTTACCTAATTTGTACATAGTTCTTCGCATGTTATCTCCCTTATTAGGCCTTTGAGAACAGAGACTGTCTTTTGCCTTTCTTTTTATCCATGCTCCCTAGCATAGTGACTGGAACATAGTAAGCTCTTAATAAATTATTGTTCACTTGACTTAACCTCTCTGTGTATGAGACATCTCTCTAACACTATAATGTGCAGAGCAAGTCTGATCTGTTGCAGCAAAAACAAATTCCATACTCAGAGTTCCTGCACCAATGAAATCAAAGTTTACCTCAAAAAAACAGGAGCATCACATTTGCTTAAAGGATGCTAAGGTTAAAAAAAAAGTAGTTTTAAAATTCAGTGTGATGGATTTGAAGCAGATGAATTCTCTTCTGGTGGATATATATATAATAGTAGGATGGGTTTTGGGTCACCTAAAAATAATGAGAGCTTATATTTATATAGGAATATGTGTGTGTGTGTGTGTATATATATACATACACACACACACATACATATATACACATATATACATATATGTTTGTTGAATGAATGAATTTTGTTGCAAAGTTCTTTTATATAGATGGTCTGTAAATAGGTATTTGCTCCTCCCCTGCCCCTACTTTCACCTGCCAGTCCACCCACCCAGGCTCCAATAAATAAGCAATTTGCTTAAGGGCATATAGTTAGTAAGGGGAATAGTCAGGAATTAAGGTTTTCTTATTCTGGGGCCACAGTGTTTCCACTTGATTGCTTGGCTTTTCTGCGAATTTCATTAATCCTTTGAATATTTGTTATTTTCTGTATGTGTTGATAGTTTTCCATAAAAGTACTTTTTAATTTTTATGAAGTCTTTGAAGGTTGTCAACATTTTTATTTCTACTTAGGGTTGGGATGAGGGTTGGACTAACATGGCCTGTCAGATTCCTTTCAGCTCCAACATTCTGTGCTTCTATAAATAAGGAAATGGATGGAGGAACTATCTTTTTTGCCTAAAGTTAGAAAGATCAAAGAATGGTGAAGTGAGGATTAAGTCCTTTGAAAATCTGTGCTGCAAAGGTGTGTGCCCCCTACAGAGCAAGCTTCCCTCCTAAAGCTACTTTTAATTGTATTCACCTAGGGGTTCTCTGTTGAACTCTTTATCTCCAGTTCCCAAGTCCTGTATTTAATGTTTAAATTTTCTTTCACTTTCTTCATTTTCTTCCAAAGAAAACTAGCCTGGACTTGAAAACCAACCCTCTTAAACTGTTAGGATTGCTTCTTGTCAAGTTGTTGAAGGCCAATCTTAACAGTCTGATATGGGTTTAAGATCCAGGGCAGAGTTTGACCTCTGCCCAGGCTTTTACCCAAAAGGGCTCAATGATTAAGAGGTATGGCTCTCCAATCTCTCCCTGTTAGGAGGTTCCGGAGACATTCCTTCTCACTCTTTGAACCTTAGATTTACACATTCACTTCTCTATGCAGGTGGCGCCAAGGCGCCTGGGAAAACCTTGGAAAATACAACCCAATCTAGGAACCCTGATAATGAGGAAATGTATGTTGTCACGTCCTCAGCAGATGTTTTGGGGAGTATCTCATGGGGAAGACTCTTTGAAGTTAGGCTAGATTTTCTTTATATATCCTGTACCCTCAGATGAATAAACTGAGTCAGTTCTGCTGCTCCGCCTGGCCCATGTCTCAAGTTTATTTCACGCTCTTCCGTTTGGTTCATTATTTGATTGCTGGCAACATCAGGTAACAGATTTCTGTATAGGTTATTTATACTTTGCTGATTGAGACATTTTAGTGAAGTTCTGTGAACCTCATCTTGCATATTTTGAGTTTGTATAGTACTATACCTTCAAAAAATAAAGTTAATAATTTTTAGCACCTAGCACAATGACGGACACATAGTAGGCACTTAATAAATGTTTGTTGATTGATTTTCAAAATAATGTTTAATTTTAAAATAATATAAATAGCAGCTGCCAGGTGCTCCAGAGGCCATTTACAAGTAAGGGTGAATTTCATTTAGTACTAAACATTTCATTTCTCTTTGGGGCATGTAATTGCTTGCTGACCCATTTCTCTTCACCCCGCCCTCTTTATTCAGGTGTTCCAAATAACCCCATGTAAATCTTTGGAGAATGCTGTAGGCTGTTGAAGTTGTTGTAAGAAATCTTCCTGGAAACAACATTTTGCCATTTCATTCAATGCCTAACATTGTAGACACAGAAAGATCAAATGATTCTGGAAACAGTGACCTTAATAAGCCTGAAAGAAAGTCTCCAGAGCAGAATTTGAAAGTTGCCGTCAAATCCTTCTGCTCCCCGGATGCCGCAACAGCACCATTGGGTTCTGGTGGAGATGGTCGCTATCCGTGGAGTTGTCCAGTGACTCATACTCGGGAAAAAATCTATGCCATCTGCTCAGACTATGCCTTTCTCAACCAGGCAACCTCAAGCTATAAAACTCCAAATTCTACTCTTTCTTCTTGCCTTGCCAATAGCACTTCTGTAACTGTTGGAAATAATTCAGCCAGATATGTTGGTATCCCAACTAGTTCCTCAGAGATCATCTACAATGAAGATAGTAACTTGGAAAGTTTATCTAATAGTTTTGGCAAGCTGCCACTTGCCTGGGAAATCGATAAGTCTGAATTTAATGGAGTGACTGCAAACTTGAAAAATAAATCAGGTAAGGAATCATTCAGTTCAAATGTAAAGAAATAAATGGCTTAAATTATTTCTCCCCAAATACAAAGACTGAGATTGTTATCTGATAAAAGAAATAAGCATGCCTATTTTATACCTTTTGGAAGCAGCTCTATGTACTATTTTGATAATTTGAAGCAATGCATTTCATTAATGTATTTCCTTCATACGTTCAGATTTGTATTATAACAGCCTCTGTGTTGTATATTTAAGTTTTCACAGAGTCTTTATAAACATTAACAACGGGGATGATGGGTGGAATATATAGTTTTATGCTCCTGCTACAGATGAGCAAACTGGCACTAAAATAAGTTAAGTGAATTGCTCTGCTTCACTCTACAAACCAGTGGCTAAGTTAAAATTAGAACCCAGGTCTACCAACCTGATTGTCGTTATGAGGAAAGTGCTTCTAAAGCTTAAAGTGCTTTATAATGCCACCTCTGCTCCTTTTTCCTTCAGTAGTCAAGTGGCTGGGGTGGACATGACTGAGGTAGAGGGGAAAAGTAGAGATTTGCTATCAGGATTAGTTTGTGGTAAACTCTCCTGCATCTTTTTTCCCACCATCATGCACCCCAAGAATATCTAGTAATCTAAATGGCCCCAATTGCCTTCTACAACTCTGAATGCAGTTGAGGCTTTGAGCCTGCTCATTATTAAGTTAGGATGCTTGGATTTCGTGGCATATGCTCATTTGGAATGTACGACAGACTTTTGTCTCATGAGGATTATAGGATTTAAATGCTAAGGAAGAGAGGGAACATATGAACACAAACAGCTGTGTAGGCCTATTTTGAGCAATGATCGGGGGGGTGGAGATCGGCTATGCACATCCCTGTACTTTAATCTTAGATCTCTTGCCTGTCAGATCCCAGATCCATTTTTTTAAATGACTGAAAGATGATTAGAAACTCAGGAAGTATGGCAGAAGATAGGTTTTCATTCCTCTGTGGTACTAGAAACCAAGTTTCACACCAAAAAGGGGGAAAACATTCATTGAATCGTAGGATATTATAACTAAAAGGGATCCTGAAGATTATGTAGTCCAATGCTTACTTTTTACATACGAAGGAATCAAGAGTCAGAGAGATAAGTATCCAATTTGGCATAAGAAGTTTTGGTAATGTTTTGCCAGTAGTAGTTAAGCCCTGTGAAAAATTAAGTTCTGTCTGAGAAGGATCAGAAGAAATGATTCAAAGGAAAAATTTGTTCCCTCTTCTTAAAGTTTTCATTATCACAGTATTTCATCTAGAATAACAAAATTCCCTTTGTAACAATAACAGATATAATTCTAGCCAATAGTTGGCTGCATTACAGATGGTTACAGTGTAGAACAAGTGTGCTAATGTGGATTAAAGCTGATGCCCAGTGTTTTGCTGGTCTTTAGTTCATGTCTGAGTATTTACATTTCAAGATTGCCAAAAGACTGATCATGAGTGTGTAGAATCACATGGTCATGAAACCCTGGGTTCATATCCTGCCTCTGCTACATACTAGCTATATAACTATGTACAAGGCACTTCTAAGTACCCCCAGGCAACCATGGAAGACTTTAAGTAACAAATGATTGCTGATCTAAATGACTGGAGAAAATTCCACACTAGGAGTCTCTTGTACTAGTACAGTCACAAAGTTCTGGACCTGCTGTACCCACAAACTCTCTGAAAAGACTCATGATAAGAAACATACTAGCTTTTAGGTAACTCAGGTCAATAAAATAATGCATATTTTATTTAAAGAAAAACACAAGACATAATTGAATATTTTAAAATATTAAATCTATTCAATTATTTCAGCTTGTTTATTTTTAAAGTACTAAGGTTGCAATCCAGAAGGCCTAAATTCAAATCTTGTTTCTGATACTTACTTACTTTGTGAGTATAAGCAAGTAGAATATCTCTCAGTCCCAGGATCTTCATTAATAAAATGGGGACAATAAAATCTGTTGTATGTAACTCGTAAGTTGTTATGAGGCCCAAGTGAAATATTGTTGTAAAGTGCTTTGTAATCTTTAAAGTGGAATATGTTAGTTATTATCATTAATTTAAATATAATTTCAATGAAATTAGGATTTTATTGGCTTATAGATCTTTGTGAAGGTTACAAATGTTTTTGCCTCTAGTCCTGGAGCTAATGATATTTTAAAACATTTATGTATGCAATAATTTTTAAAAGTCTGTGGAATGAAGTTTTCCAAAAATAGTACCTTTTCTGATATTACTTAATGCTTTTAATGATTTTATTATAAAATATAATCTTATGATTTTATAAATAAAATTATTTTTAAAAGGCAATTTAAACAATATTGCCAAATGGTTATCTCACTTTCCAAATGTGACTAAGTTTGTTAGATAATTTATAAGCTGAATAACAGAAATTTGAGGCTCTGGAAAAGAAACATTTTTTAAATTTAAATTAGGAATTTCTTTTTATAGCAAGGGCACATTCCCAGAAACAAATTAGTTATTTAAATATGTTAGGCATTATAATTTTTAATGATATTGACAAAATCCTTTTTAGTTACTGTACATTTGGAAGTGACTGTAATTGGAATATACTATGAAATAGTAATTCCAAGATTTCCTTTTTCAGGCAATGTGAAGAAACAAGTTTCCAAAAAAAAGACTTCAGAAAAAAAGGGAAAACATAACAAGGAGTGTCCTCAGTATTCTACTCTTGAAGATATTAAACAGCGGAAAGTATTAGACCTCAGGCGATGGTAGTATTTTAATGGCAGCTATTAAACAGTTAAAATTATCTTTGACTTAAACATGTTTGTTACTCACTAATTTATATGAAATTTCAGTGCTAATATGGTCAGTGCCTATTTTACATGTAGGGAGGTGAAAATACAAAAAAGTGTAACATGGAGCCTGTCCTCATGGGGCTTGCAGTTTGATTATAGAGACAGAAAATATACATAAAAGATATTTAATAGGGGCAGCTAGGTGGTGCAGTGGATGGAATTCCAGCCTTGGAGTCAAAAGGACCTGAGTTCAAATGCTGCCTCAGACACTTGACACTTACTAGTTGTGTGACCGTAGGCAAGTCACTTAACCCTGCTTGCCTCACCAAAAAGCAAAAAAAAAAAAAAGATGCATAACAAAGTATATGTAGGTTCAAAACCCTTTTTTGCTGCTTTGGGCAAGTCACTTAATCTCTGGACCTCAGTTTCCTCATCTGAAAAATGAGAGGAAAGGAATTAATAACCTCTAAGATCTCTTCTGGTGAAATGGATTTCATGGGCTTGGAGTACAAAATAACTGAGTTTGAATCCTCCCTCAGGCACGTACCATCATTGTGATGCTGGGCGAGTCACTTAACCTCAGCTTCAGTTTCTTCATCTGGAAAATGAGGGTGTTGGACTTGAGGAGAGGAAGTGATCAATAAGGACAAGGCAATGCATGAAGGCTAATGGAGGAAGCAGTATTTAAACTGAAATTTATGGAAAGCTAGAATATAAATAAATTGAGATGAGGGAGAGGGCATTTCAGACCAGGAGAGTGTGAGCAAAGGTGCCCAGGTGGGAATTTTTATGGTGCTTTGTAGAATAGTAGAACAGATTGGTTTTGTCTAGGGCATTTGTGAGAAGAGAAGGTTGGAGAGGTAGGTGAAGACTATATTGTTAAATGTCTTAAATACCAGTTAAAGTAGATTGGAGTTTGTCCTATGGGAAAAAGAGAGTGATGGAAAGTTTACATACAGGGGGTAAAGTGTATAATGCTGTTTTTGAGAACAAGTCATTAGCATCCATATCGCAGCATAATTTAGATCTTGTTGGCAATACCTCCTACTTCTTATCAAAGAATTGAAATAGTTGGTGTGACATGTGTTCTTTGGAGAATTTCTATATTTTTTCTATTTTCAGCCAACACTAGATGATTAAGGTAAAAATAATATAGATTGCAGTTTATCAAAGCTTCCTGTTTTCCTTTCCCCCACCTTTAGGGCACTCACACTGTTTAGTAACCTTATCGGTAGAGCATAACCAGGATAAGAAAGATAATATGAGTCAGATTCATTGTTTCTTGAGTCTTTTTCATTATACTGAACTGTTTAAGCAAATTTCTGTTTACAGAAATTAGATTATAAATTCCTTGAGGTGTTGGAAAAAGGACATTGGAATAGGAACCCTGGCTTTTAGTTTTGTGTCTGCTATGAACAAGCTCTGTCACCTTGGACAAGTCAGTTAACATTTCTGACCTTCAATTTCCTCTTTTTTTTTTTAAATGTGAAGATTGGACTAGATGATCTGTAAGGGCCCTTATAGCTCTAATGTGTGGTAGCAGGGATCCTGTTTTATGCTTCTTTTAAAATGCTATGAGTCATAGCTCAGTGACCTGAATAAAGTAGACACATGATTAATATTTGATTTAAAGATATCTTCTACACATTGGTATATGTCTGCTCTATGACATTGGCATATAAAGTTTTTTTGAAGTGTGGGAGAGAAATATAATCAGCTGAAATATCACTTTAAATAATTTGAAGAAATATGGGATTGTACCTTACTTTCAAATTCATATTGAGAAACTTGGAGGGTCATTGATAAGAATCTTACAGGATGAGATCTATACATGGGTTATGATCTAAATAATCAGGGAGGGAGTGCCCCATTAGAGATCTCAAGGGGCCACTGAAGGATTGAGAAGAATAGTAAAGTAGAAAGAATGCTGGACTCTAGAAATCTATAGACCTAGGTTCTAAACCCAGCTCCTTTACTTAGCACTTATATGGTCTTGAGCAAGTCAGTCAGTCAGTCACCAAACATTTATTATGTACTCACCACATGTCAGACACTATAAGTGCTGGGGATAGAAAGAAAGACAAAAATAGTCCTTACTTTTGAGGAGCCCATGTTCTAATAAGAGATAACAGGAAACAAACATGTACATACAAGCTATATACAGAGTAGATTGAAGATAAGTTAGAGAGAAGGCACTACTAGCAGTAGGGATGTGGGTGGGGGGTGGAATGAACTGAGAAAGGCCTCTTTCAGAAAATGGTATCTGAAAAGAGTGGTGAAGGAAGCTAGGGAAGTCAGGAGGTGAAGGAGGTGAGGAAAGAGAGCATTCCTTCTACAGGGAATAGCCACTGAAAAGGCTGATGGGAGATGGAATTATCTCTATAGAGGTGATTCTCAGATCTATTTATCCAACCCTAACTCCTCTCTTGACCTCCAGCTTTTCATCTTCACTCTGTGTTTTTGCATTGGCTGTTCCTTATGCTTAAAATGCCCTTCCTCCTTATCTTGGCCTCATAAAATTCCTCTCTTCTTTCAAAACACAGCTTAAACAAGCTTCTGTATGAAAATTTTTCCTGTTCTCCCAGCTGTTATTGCCTTCCTTCTCAAATTACTTTGTATTTAACAAATACTTTGTATTTATTCTTTTTATATTTATTCTGTATACATTTACATATGAAACTGTTGCTTTCCTGATTGGCATTTAAACCTCTTGAAAACAGAGATTGATTCATTTATTGTTTGCATCCCTAGTACAATGCCTAGCAAATAGTAGGCGCTTAATAAATGCTTATTGATTTATTGATATTTCATAAACTGAAACCTGCAATTATCACATGAACTTTGATACACTATCCATTTCCATAGCTTGTATTCAAATAACCAAAATAAGCTCTTCTCTTCATAGGTACTGTATCAGTCGACCTCAGTATAAGACCTCCTGTGGTATCTCCTCATTGATATCTTGTTGGAATTTCTTGTATAGCACAATGGGAGCTGGAAAGTAAGTCATACATATTCATTGATATACATTGTTCCTCCAAATGCTTTTTGAACTTGACTTAAGGCATCTACTTAGTCTATGATTAGATATGCGTTTCCCCCCACCCCCCCTTAATACTGGGTCTCTTCATTTCACACTGGCTGAAAGTGGAAGGGCTTGTGAGCCAAATGTCACTAATGATTGGCACAGGAATTTTGATGTATTCCATTTCTGACTGGTGTATATCAGCACCTCTTTGGCCACTTGGTAACCTCCAGTTCAGATGAACTCACCTATTTGGTGCTAGTCTTAGGACACCTGATTGACTTAGCTTACAGAAGCTCAGAATTCTGAAGCTCAAGATATCTGCCAGCCTCAGTCTCCCTGGAAGCAGAGACTATTGGCATGTGCTGCCTCTCCCAACTGAGACTTTATTTTAAAGTTGTATTTCTGTGATAATTTGTCTTTGTTAAAGTATTTATTTTGTTTTGGATATCTATCTATCTGAAATGGTGGTTGGTTGTTACATTGATCAGAGTTCTTCAGTCTTTCAAAGCTATTTGTCTTGACAATATTGTTGTTATTATATAAATACATGTATATTATAAATAATACTTTTCTTGTAGCCTTCCACCTGTTACTCAAGAAGAGGCTTTACACATTTTGGGCTTTCAACCCCCATTTGAAGATATTCGGTTTGGTCCTTTTACTGGAAATACCACATTAATGAGGTATGGAATCATCTTTGTGAAAATTCAATTTTATTTTATTTTCAGATCTGAATTCTCCACACACATACACACCCATCTCTCTACAGAGCCTATTCCTCACTAAGAAAGCAAGAAAAAGAAAACCTGTTACAAACATGTATATATACAAACATGCAAAACAAATTCATGAGTTGGCCATACCCCAGGTATACCATATCAATGAGGTATGTAGCAGCCTTAGTGAAAATTCAATTTTATTTTCAGCTCTGAATTGTCTCCCCTAGCTCCCCAGCCCCACTGAGAAGCAAGAAAAACAAAACCTGTTGCAAACAAAACACATCCTTCCGTTGGCCATCTCATTCATGTATGTCTGAATATACATATATATATGTATATATACACACATATAAACTGTATACGTGACTACACATATACACACTCCCTCATTTCGCACTCTGAGTCTATCACCTCTCTATCTGAAAGTGGGTAGCATGTTTTGTCATGAGACTTCTTGGTCATTACGTTGATCAAAGTTCCTCAGTCTTTCAAAGCTATTTGTTTTGACAAAAATGTTATTATATAAATTGTCCTCTTAGTTCTGTTCACTTCACTTTGCATCAGTTTATGCAAGTTAAAGCAACCTATATGTAGCAGAATAACTTCTAACTTTAAATCATAGCTCCTAATTTTTATTTTTATTCTTGACAGATTTTATTGCTGTTTTTTGTCTTTACATTATAGCCAGTTTGCAAATTCTCCCAAGATTAAACCTTCCTTTATGAGAAAGAAAAAAGTTAAACCAAATGCAAGATATAGTAACCACATTTGACAGTGTGCACGTATAGTGTTCTGTACATAGTAGGCCTCTGGTCTCTCCTGTAAGGATGGGGGAAGTAGGTTTCATTATCTGTTCTCTGAGACCTTCATTGCTTTTTCAGTTACTTAGAGTTCAATTTGCTTTTAATGATCTTTTCATTTATGTTGTAGCCATTTTGTACATTGCTCTCTCATATCAATGCATCAGCTCATAGAAATCTTCCCATGTTTCTCTGAATTATTTCTATTATTCATATCTTTTTGTACAATAATATGATATTCATATATTGTAGTTTTCCCCCCTCTGCTATTACCCAGTCAATGGATACCTACTTTGTTTCTAGTTTTATATATATATATGTATACACACACACACACACACACACACACACACACACACACACACACACATATTTGTTTTTGGCCAAATGGAAAAGGAGGTACAAAATTATATATTTATTTTTACAAGTCTTAATACTGCAGGATGTTTACTTGATAGCAAGGCACATATTTTATTTGAGTTTCCTGTAAATATTTTTATTATATTAAATATGTTATATTTTTGACTCTTAAAGTTTTATTTGAATGTGTAGTGATTGTTTTCTTCAAAAAAACTGTCCCATAATGTCTTCTTGCTTTTTCAGATGGTTTAGACAAATTAATGACCACTTCCATGTAAAAGGCTGTTCTTATGTTCTCTATAAACCTCATGGAAAGAATAAAACAGCAGGAGAAACTGGTAAGTATAACATTAAGTCAATTGATGTGTGTTTTTTTTCCTTTTAGCATATTTTGAGTAACTTCTTATACTGTTCACCAAAGTTAAAGGTTAATTTATTAATTTTTCTAGTATCTTAGACTTAGAGCTAAAAGGGACCTTAGAGGCCATATAATCTAACTCACATTTTATAGATGAGGAAACCAAGGCATGGAGAAATTAAGAGACTTGCCTGGGTTTATACAGTAAGTTCCAAAGCTAGGATATGAACCCAAGTTCTCTGACTCCATATCTAGCAATATTTCCACTAAAGTGTGCTAGACCAAGTACTGTGCCTCTTAATTGAGTAGTCTGAAAGAAAGGCCCAAATGGGCTGTTGACCCAAAGGAAAGTCACAAAATGTTATTGTTTAGGTAGGCCTAAATGGTATAAAATTGTTTGTACTTATTACATAGTTAAAAAAGAAAGCATCCTTCCCCCCCCCCCATTCCATAATGGCAAAGAAATAAAAGTCTGAACAATTGTCTGCTTAATTTGGCCAGTATAGATGACCTATGTGGATAATTAACTCATATAGTTTTTTGTTGTTTTTCTCATAGAATCCACATCTACACTGTCCAAATTCAGCAGATAAATACTTTGCTTTCCCCCTCTATACTTCCACCCCCCTTTCCTTAGTGCTTTGTAAACCTAGTCAGAGAGTCATTTAAAGCATGTTATTTTCAGTCTTGGCCAAATGCCAAAACAAGGGAGGGGAGGGAAAGAAACCCTGTTAATTCTTATTTGGAAATCAAATATGTCTATAGGAATAATATTCTGAAATTTGGAAGACAGGAGAGCTGAAAATCTTGTGACTGCCACTCAGCAGTCACAGATTGACTTATCAAATTTCCCAACCCCCTCTTTTTTAAGCCATTTTATTTTACCCACATAGTTATTTGAATTTTGGCAGGGACAGCTATGTTGTAGTTAAAAGAATACCAACTACAGAATCATGAACTCTGGGTTTATTAAGCCTCAGCTGCCATTTGCAATCTGGGTGGACTTGGCAAGTCATTTAACCTGGATGGGCTTCCTTATTTGTAAAAATGGGAATAATATTCAACTTCACAGGATTATTGTGAGGATCAAATGAGATAATGTATGTGAAATGCTATAGAAGTCTTAGCTGTTATTATGCCATCAGTCTGGTTAATTATCCCAGGAAGAAGAATTTCCCAAGGCATGAAAAGTCAACTTGAACTGCAGGGGCTAATGATATCTGTTCTTAAATCCAAGATGGGCAATAATCCAGAGTTTCCCTTTTACCTTAGGTTTTCAAGATTGGTCCATTTCTCAGAAAATAGTCTCAGATGAGTTAAGGGAAGGATAAAGGGGGCAGGCCTAAAGAATTTATATTCATCATCATAAACGTTTGAGTTTATATACCACAATACTTTTATTCTAAAATTAATATTTGCTATAGGCCAAAAAAACCTGTTTAAAATATTTTCAGTTTTTTTTTACATTAATTTTATGGGCAAACAGGAAAAAAGGAAGATATTTTAGAGTTCAAATATATGTGATTATGGGTAGGCTTATTCTCTAGAATGTAGGTTCATGTATCTATCTATCTATCTATCTATCTATCTATCTATCTATCTATCTATTTTCCCACTTAGAACACATTTCTAGAGATGAACAGACTTCACTATAGAAGTACCTAGTCAAAATTAATCTTTTTTCCTTCTGTTCATACCTAATTTTATTCCCTTTTATATTCACAATAAGTAATACATTTGATGTTTCCTTTTATATTCCCAATAAGCAATACATTTGATGTTTCCTGCTTCTAACTATTTTTGGATAGCTTACCAAGCCCCTCCTTATTTGTATGATAGCCATCTATAGTTCAGAAACAATTCCCTGGGAGTAAGAGGTTGCTACTGATTTATTTAGAATATTGTCTAGTAGATCTATATCACTGGAATGCTCAAAATTTCACCCGTTTGAGAAATGATCTTAGAATTATCTAAAAGGAGTTTGTAATACCACAGCAGTTATTAATTTTCAGAAACACTTCCTAGTCCATGTTGGCTCCCAGATTATCACTTTATTCCACCCCTTCACTCCTCTCCACAGCAGCCCCCTCCCTCACACCCCCATCACAGTTCATCGGTGGAGCTACGAGGACTGACGCACTGTAAACTCAGGTTTCATTCTCTGTTGTGGTCCTTTATGATCTTATCTTTACATTAAATCTCATTCATATCATAGAAAAATATTTTCATATCACAGAATTCCATAATTTGGTTGACTTAAAATATTAATTTGGAGATATAATTTTTTGATGTTCTTTCTCATGTCATTGTCAATTGCCTCTGACTTCTCCTATTCCCACTCAATAGAGAGGTCCCTTATGACATATATATGTGTGTGTATTCATACATATATGCAAATATACATGTATGTAAATATATGTCATATGACAAATAAATATAGTCAGCAAACAAATGAATACCTTGGCCATGTCTGTAAACTATGCTCTATGTCACAACTATAGTTCTCTACTAAGAGAGTTACCTGTCTTGATAAGGGGGACAGAAGGCATGCTTTACCATCATTCTAGTGAAGTCATGATTAATCATTCCATAGATCAGAGTTCCAAAGTCTTTTAGTTTTGCTTTTCTGTTTCATTGTTGTGGTCATCATATAAATTGTTCTTCTGCTTCTTATTACACTGGGCACAAGTTCACAAATTTTTCCCAAGCTGCTCTGACTTCTTCACATTTTCTATGTCTTACAGCATGATAATATTCCATTATATTCATGGACCACAGTTTGTTTAGTCATTCAGTGGTTTGGAAGTAGGAAAAGTCTATTTTTGTATATACCTTTTCCTCTCTCTTCAACCTTCTTGGGTGTATGCGTAGTAGTTGTATCACTGGTCAGAGTATGTACATTTCATTTTCTGTTTTTTCACTGAGGGTCACGCAGCCAATTTGTGTCAAAGGTGGGATCTGCTGACTCCAAGGCCAGCTCTTTATCCGATATGTTCTACTGTTAATCTCAGTTCTCTTCTTATTAGTGATTTGAAACATTCTTGTTTGATAGCTTACATTGCTCCTTTTTATAACTGGCTTTTCATAACTATATCCTTTAACTATTCATCTTTATCAGATAATTCTTATTCATGTCTGTCTATTGATTCCCTATATAGCTTGCATTTCAGATCTTTAGCAGAAATATTTCTTACAATGAATTTCTTCTACTAATTTCTGTTCTAATTCTAACTGCATTGGTTTTGTTTGTGCAAAAATTTTTGAATTTGTATAATCAAAGTTGTCAGTTTTTCTTCTTTGATCACCTCTATCCATTATCTAGTTAAGAATTTTCCCCTTAGATATATTTGTCCTTTCATTCTCTGCTAATTTTTTCATGATATGTTCTTTTATATTTAGATTGTGTATACATTTGCAATTTATTATGATAAATGGCATGATTAATTTAAACCTAATTTTTGCTAAACTGTTTTTCAGTTTTTTAGTCTCTCTATGCAGTTTTGGTCAAATAGGAAATCTTTAGGCTACTATGGTGGGTCTTGCTTATCTAATCTGTTCAAATGAGAAACTTTTTTTTGGCTAATGCAAAATAGTTTTGATAGTCATTGCCTTATAGTATGACTTGAAGTCTGGTAATGGTAGACCCACTTCATTCCTACTGTTTTTCATTATTTCCTTTAAGATTCTTGACCTTTAGAAGAATTTTGTTATTATTTTACTATTTTGTCTAGAATCAAAAAGTTTTATAAAATTTCCCATTCTTTTTTCCTTTCTTCTTTCTTCACCAGTCTTCAGTATTTGTTGTTGTTCATTCATTTTTCAGTTGTGTCCTATTCTTCATGACCCTTCAGCATTTAATCTAGTTCAATTCAGTTCAATGTGAATGATATGACTTTTACTCTAGAAACCAAATATTATCTAACAGCATTTTTCAGGATGTAGCATAAAGCATTTAAATGTTAGTGTGCTAAACATAGTAGAATAATACTAATACTATTAAAAATATTTTGTGATAGACATAATATAAATTTGTCCTATTTTCTGCCATTAAGGCTATGTCAATATGCATAATTTGTTCATTGTTTTGATGTACTCTCCTAGTCATCTCAGTTAAGCAGAAAAACTGATCATACATATAGAAAACTTATACTTCTTCATATGTGGTCCAGACTATCCATGTGACCACACATTTACTTTATTGTCCACTATTATCCTGAGTTTTCTGCTCTCTCAGTACATGCCCTACCCATTTTGAGTTTTTTAAGGTATGTCTTTTCCAACTAACCATCTCTGTTATTAAAAATACATACACACACACACACACACACGTGCACGCGTTTTCACTGATTTAAAAAAAAGTTTAGTTGAATTCACTAATGTGTTTTTGGATTCAAGATTAAAACTTTTAACTTTCTATGTAACTAGATGATATTTTTTTTAAGGCAATTGGGGTTAAGTGATTTGCCCAGGGTCATACAGCTAGTAAGTGTCAAGTGTTTGGTCTGAGGCTGGATTTGAACTCAGGTCCTCCTGACTTCAGGGCCGGTGGTCTATTTACTGTGCCATCTAGCTGCCCCACTAGATGACATTTTCAAAGAATGTTTATGTATATGTCTATGTTTAGAGATATTTGTTTCAGGAATAATATTTTAATTTTTAGCTGTAAAAGTTTACTTTGGAACTCACATTTACTAACAATAGCAAAACATAGTAATCCTCCCTTTTCAATTGTTGCCATCATGATAAACAGCTCAATATTGCCATTTTTTAGACCATGTAACAGCACAGTAATAACTTTTTTTGAGGGGGTTGTCTTACTTAAATATGAAATAAGTTTTGACACACTTTTAATATAAAGTCTATATTATCTTTATGAATTCTGTAGCTCATAGAAAACACATCTCAGCTAAAGGGAATTATAAAACTGTACTTATTTTGCTAACACCCTTTCTAAAATAAATCAGCAGTCATTGACTTCAT